CTACCCTCCACCTCTTATCCGCCCCGACAGGTAACTGTATGCCGCCTCCTGCGGCTCAGCTGGCGCTGCAGCTGGCTGTCGTGCGTGGTGGCGATAGGGCGGCGGCGGCAGCGGCGGCGGCGGCTGAAGTGGAAGTGTGTGGTGATCCGTTCTAATTGCTGCTACAGCTGCATACATACCGTACAACACACACTGTGCGGCTTTGGCCTCGGCCATTGTGTGTGTACGTTTGTACATATGTGTGTACGTGCTCTCACCGCAACGCACTAACCCTGGAACGCACTGCCGTACGATGCCCCAGGAAACCATCAGCCCCAGCCCCAGCAACATGCGGCCTTGCAGGACCAGATCCAAACCCAAACAGAGATAAAGCCACACGGCCCCGGAGACGTGGGGGCAGGGGAGAGAGGACAGGAGCGTGTGCGTGTGTTTTAATGATATGTGCCATGTGTGTGTGTGTAAATATATGGCGCCGCGTCATCTACCTGAGATGAGCTCCCCCTGATTGGGGTGAAGCACCACCGAGTTGACGGCAGCGCGGCTCTCGTAGGTGCGTTGGCAAACCTGGGAGCGCGTGTCCCAAACCCGCACGGTGCCATCCTCGCCCCCTTTGGAAAGTGGGGGAAGCCGATTCGGGTGGGAGGGGAGGGGAGCAGGGGAGGGAAGGAGTGTGCATCTGTGGCTGCGGGGACGGGAATGAAACGGTGTATGACGCAATGGGTGCCGCTCCGGATTGGTTAGACGGCAGACAAAGGGAGTAATGGGAATTCCATTTAGCTGCAAGGGTCCCCGCGCCGCTATGGGGCAGTTCCCCTGTGCAATCCCTGCACACCTGAATACATCCATTTCCCATCCTTGTGGAATCCAACGGCTGTAACATTTCCCGCATGTCCGTCGTAGGTCAAAAGAGGGTTAGGGTCGTTGGAGTTGACATCAAACACACGGATTTGTGGGTTGCCCGCTGCTGCTATCCGCGTTTTGTCGGCTGTAATTTCCAACTTGTTGACCTGGGACTCCGCATACTGAAGAGTTCGGTAGCAGCAGCCACTCGTGGCTTCCCAAAAGCGAATAGTGTGATCGTAGCCGGCCGTGGCCAGCACAACGCTCGACATCACGAACAACAAGTAGCAATTTCAATGCATTATATTCGGAATAAGATTGGCATTGGTATGGGTTAAGTCCACGTTTCGCGCTTTGCTCAACATCCTCGTTAGGAGCATAAGCAACTCTGGCACCAGCTTCGGGGTAGTAAAATACATCACTTGAATAGTGCACAGTTACACTTGTAATAAGATTTCAGGCCATGAGGTCGACGACATCATGTCTCCGGAGCCGATTCCATGCCGCGGCATGTCGGCAAGCATACCAAATCAGCTTTGCTCCAAATACGAAAGCTTATAAGCTCTCAGCTCCTGTGTTGCTATTGCCTTATGCCAACGAAACCGTCATCCTTTGATAGGAACGGATTTTTTTACCGTTGAAAGGACAGGAAGCGAGCTGGGACCGTCGCTAAATTTACTGCTAGGATGAGCCTGTCAAATTTACGTTTACACCGTCCTGGATGCCAAGCAGGTCAGCCATCGGCTGGCACGTCAGCACGGTCCGGCGTCGCACGCTTGTGCATGAGCTCTCATCGATGTCCACAAGGTTTGGTTACCGGATTACTTTCTCGTCTGGTACGCCGCCGTGGAACCACACCTCTAACAGCGCGAATTCGGGCCTTCGTCCCCGCAGTACAAGCGAGCAAAACGGACCCCGCCGCGTCGCTGGTGGCAGCGAGCAAATCCGACTCTCAATCCGGCAAAGTGTCCGACGAATCTATCGACTGGACGCGACAAGGCGTGCCTGTCTACCTGCAAAGCAGTGTGGACATCGACGTTTGCGACGATGAGTCGCAGGCGCTGACCATGGGCATGGCCGGCGACTTACTTTGGAATGCCATCCGGTTAGTCTTCAGCACGTCACCTCACCACCGCCGGATACCTAGACCGCGCTATATTTTTGCTTCCTGCTTGTCCTCCGATGCTGTTGACAGTTGGCAGGTCGCGAATTCCCCTGTCTCTTTGACTCCACAGTCCATATCCCGAGCTCGCCCCTTAGAGGAGCCCCGCCCTTGGGCCCTGCCAATATCCTCATTCCCTCCTCCTTCTCCCCTGAACCCCAAAACCTGAAACCCCCAACCCCCTCTCCCGGGGGGTTTTCCCCCTTCCCCCCCTTACAATACACAGCACCGAGGCCAAGGCCGATGCCGCCAGCGAGCCCCTCCTGAGCTCCTTCCTGTACGCCTCCATCCTGGCACATGACTCATTCGAACTGGCCCTGGGGTTCGTACTCGCCAACAGACTGGCCAACAGCACCATGCTGCCCACACAGGTACACATACATAGCCTGGGGGCTGGGGGTAAGACGAACCACCGGGGCTGGGGGTTTGAGTGTCTGCATGTATGTATGTATGTATGTATGTATGTATGTATGTATGTGAGGGGTTGGTTTATTTCATATGCTCAGTTCGTTATGTGTCGGTAGCAGGGTGGCGCGGGGCTGCTTCCCCGCCTCCAGCACTCCAGGGACGGATCAGGTCATGAATTACCCGAGCCATCCAACTGTCCTTCCCCCCCTCCTATCCGCACAACAAGGGGTGGGGTGGGAGGAAACTCGTGGTCGGTTGTGTCTCGCGAATTAAAAAACGACCGCGTAATTGCTACATGCTCAATTATCTGAAGAGGTGCATGCCATGCCGTGTCTGTCTGTCTGTCTGTCTGTCTGACAGCTGTTCGAGATCTTCCACGGCGTCCTCCGTACGGACCCCGAGGTCCGCTGCGCTGCGCTCTCCGACATCGCTGCATGCCGGGAGCGGGATCCGGCCTGTACGTCGTACAGTCACGCGCTGCTGTACTACAAAGGCTATCACGCCATCCAAACGCAGCGAATCGCACATGCGCTGTGGCAGCGCAATCAGAAAGTTATGGCGCTGGCGCTACAGGTACGTGCGTAGGTGTGGGTGTAGGTGTAGGTGTAGGTGCGGGTATGGGTGTGGGTGTTTGGTCGGGGAGGAAAAGGGAAGAGGGGGGCCAGGGGAGGGAACTTGGAAAATGAGAGGTGAGTGGGTTTCATGCACTGAAGCACCCCTGGACTGGACTCAGCTTTTTAGGTGGAGTACGTCAATGCCGCCGCCAGGCTGGCGGCAAACTTTATTCCAGCTTCACGTCAGCAATTTTTTTTACTACTTTTCCGCCGCCTCTACACCTACCTTTACTTCTTTACGGCTTGGCATTACTGCTTTCTTGCGCGCTTATTTTAGTCTTGGCGGCCAGGTAGGTAGTTTTCCGACATCTTCTTCACTACGTCATCCCGAGGTCGCCGCACTTCAAGAACGCCTTTTGGTCAGTTCTACTCTTGCCCTGGCAGCACCTTCACTCGTCCGTGGTTCGTCTTTCCCACCCTTGGTTTCCCTCCCCTCTCCTTTCTCTCTCTCTCTCACCTCCCCCCCACCTCCCACCCAGAGCCGCATGTCCGAGGTATTCGCGGTGGATATCCACCCCGCCGCCCGTATCGGCAAGGGCGTGTTGTTGGACCACGGGACCGGTGTGGTGATCGGGGAGACGGCGGTCATCGGGAACAACGTGTCGATACTGCAGGTGCGCGGGAGTGGAGTGGAGTGGAGTTGAGTTGAGGTGGGGGGTAGGCCCCTAGGGCGGGTGCCACGACGACGACGACGACAAGGCGACGACGACGAGGGGGTGCCAGACCGTCGCAACGCCACCGTAGCCATAAAGCTGGTATTACGTATGTTATGTTTATGTGTTTGTAAGCGACTTAATGCAGCTTGCTGGGGTCTTGGGGGGAAGAGGGGCTGTTTCACGGGGAGAGGGGCGGGCGGTGCGTGTGTATATATACACGTGTGTCTGTCAAAGGAGGAAGCTGGACTTTCCCCGCTGGTGGGGGTCTCACCCTACCCTACCCAGCCCTACCCCACCTTTGAACAAGATGCAGACCCACACCCTCCCCCCGGGGAGCACACGCTTTTCCCTCTCTCCCTTTCCTCTCCGGTTGACTCCGGTCGCCAGTTTCTGTGTCCGCGGTTAAGTCCGTTAAACCCCGTGCCCCCTCCCCTTCCTTCCCGCCCACCCCCGTCCTGTCAGAATGTAACCCTGGGGGGCACGGGCAAGGAAATTGGCGACCGGCATCCCAAGGTCGGTTTGTAGACTGGGCGGGGGGAAGTGTGACTGCAAAATGTGAGAATCTAACTAGGACGTGTGTATGTATGTATGTATGTACGTATGTACGTATGTCGCCCTCGGGATCCGTCCTCCTCTTCCTCGGCATCGTTAACGCGCGGGGTTTTGTTGCCATACATACAAACAAGATATGACCCCCTGCCCCACATACACATCATACACATCATACAAACAGACGTACTGACGCCTTGGCATGCATTACTCAGTTAGATAACATATCGGTGGTGTCCCCATTTACCCACGTTTACCTCACGCTTGCCCCACACCAGCTGACCGCCACAACCGCCACAACCGCCACTCCCGTACTCCCCCCTTCCGCCTCCCCCCACATCCCCTCAACGCGACTGGCTCATCAAGCCGGGAAACATTTGACACACGTCCCCTCCTTTTTTTCTCCATTTATGTACCGCTATTCAACATCCACAACATAACACCACCACCACCACTACCAACAACAACAACACCGTGTATGACCAGGTCGGCGACAATGTGCTCATCGGCGCATGTGCGACCATCTTGGGCAACATACACATCGGCAAGGGGGCCCAGATCGCGGCGGGCAGCCTGGTGCTGAAGCCAGTGCCGCCGCACTTCCTGGTGGCGGGCTCCCCGGCGAAGGAGATCGGACCCGTGCGGGGTAACCCGGCGCTGTCCATGCGCCACTGGAGCAGGCGGATCATGGAACCGCCGGAGGCGACGGCTGCAGCAGCAACAGCAGCAGCTGCAGCAGGAGGAGGAGGAGGACGAGCAGGTGGAGCATCAGTAGCGGCGGCGGAGGCTTCGTCGGCACAGGAGAATGTGGAGGTGAGTGGCCGGCTGGAGGCGGAAGCGAGCTTGGCGCCGTTGGAGGCGGAGGCGGCGGAGGCTTCGGCGGCTGCGGCGGAGGCTTCGGCGGCGGAAGCGGTGCAGAATATGAATGTGAGTGGCGGCGGTCTGGCGGGGCCTGAGGTGAGCTCGGTGGCGTTGGAGCACAGCAGTGACGGCGGTGGTGGTGGCGGTGGTGATGTGTCCGCAGCGGTGGCGGCAGAGGGTGGGAAAGCCCAGGGTCCAGAGGGCCGTAAGAGGCCAGCTCCCGAGTACGAGATCTGATTGTGCAGCTGCTGTGGTGGTGGTGGTGGTGGCGGTGGTGGTAGCGGCGGCGGGAGTAGAATGGCCATTGGCAACGCGGCTCTTGCACATGACCGAAATGCGTATGTGTATGTATGTATGTGTGTGTGTTAGGGCCTTTGAGATTTAGGGACACGTATATACATTCATACATACATACATAGATGTGCACACGCACTTTTTGGAGTGGGCGAGGCAACTATATCTTGCGGGTGGACGTGTGTGTGAACGGCTCGGTACACGTTAACAGTGCACTTACGGGGCATTACGGGGCGTTATTGTAACGGACATTGCCATGTTCTTGTGCACTGGACTGTGTCTGGAAGTGTGTGTGTGCGTATGTATGCGTGCACATGTCTGTCTGTATGTGTGTACATCATGAGTGTTTCATGCACACGGACATTGCACCCCACCAACGCGTGACGTAATTTGTCTTGTTGCGCCGTGTCATGCGGTGCCACGTGCCGTCTGAAGTAGGAAAGCGGTTTTCGACAGACACACACACACACACACACACACACACACACACACACACGCGCGCGCATGCACACACATGCACACACATGCACATGTATATACACATACGCACACACACACACATCAGCATCACCATCATTCCAAGTGGCTGACGGACAGTGGCGCCCAGGGAGTGGCGTCGTGAATAGGAGCCTGGGGGGGATGCATTTGCATGAACCAATCACGGCTAGTCAAGGGATGCGAAGGATGCATGTGCGTGGGGTGGGTTGTGTGGAGAGGGGATGGGGAGTGCGGCCCTGGCTCTAACCATGGGCCGGAGGTAGGTTATCACGCAAGACATGTTCGTCTGTTTGCGTCTCTGCTCGTGTGCCACTGCTTGCGTCTCTTGTGTCTCATAACTCCTGATTCCTTTTCGCGATCCGTTTTGAGGTCCAATTTGCAGCGATGGTGGAGGGCTAGGGGGAGGAAGTGCGATACGGGGGCTGTGTATGAGTACGTGTGAACCCGCGGCGTGTTTATTTTAGAGAAGGGAAGCGGAAGAGGCAAAATGGGGAGGGGAAGGTGAGGCGATACGCAGAGATGGTATGGTTTGCGGGCGGGCGGTGGAGGCCTTAAGATCGGCGCTTGGCGTTTCTGTGTGTGTTGTCGGCTGTCGGAGTACGGCTGGCGCAGGTGACAATTTGTAAAAGTGGTAAGAAGGGCAGGTTTCGGCAGGGGCTCCACCCTCGAGTGGGTGTGGAGCTCCCCATGGGGGTCGCGACCGGGTTGTTGTGAGTTGTGTACATGCTACCGGGCTTTACAGGTTTGGGAGCTTAGGGAGCCTGGCCTCACGTGGGGGTTTACGTGATGGGACTGGCATGTGAGCCTGGGTTGTCTTTAAGAATCCAAATCGGATGAAATTGTTCTAGATGTACACGTCTAGAATTGGAAGATCTACAGGTTGATTTACAAAACTCATATCGCGGACTTTGGCGACCTGACCTGGGTTCCCTTGGGTTTTAGGTGCAAGGCTCCCGCACAGCCATCAGCCTTACAGCAGTCTGTGCATCCAGTCAAACAAACGCATGGAAGCCCACGTAAGCCCAGGTTTCCTGTGCTAGTTGTGCTAGAGTTGTAGTTCAGCGGCTTGTTCCACGCATCAAGCTTACAGTTCGCCGTCATGATTGACCTGGTCGTCCGCCACGGCATCCACTTTGTGGTCTATCGGGGTTGAGTTGATGAACTTGGTTTTACAACATGGTGAGGTCTTCTTACCATTTGTGGCAGTTTGCCACTGAAAGGTTTCCTTGAAATGGCCAAACACTTTAGCGCATAAATATATATGGCAGGCGGCTGGCAGAGGTTAAGGCCTGACTTCTGCTCCCGGCCGACCTGGATTCAAATCCGCCTGCCGGCTTCTCGGCTGTTTGAGGAGTGTTGAAATGGGAGGTGGCCCCCCATCATATGGACGGTGTAGGACGTGATAAAATCAATTTGCGAGCTAACCAGGAACTAAGTTGATGCGCCGTTGATCCGCTAGATTTGGTTGGATGCTGGTGGTGAGTTGCCGAACCCAACGAATACATTCTGAAGTCGGATGGGGTGACGGATTAGGGTGCCTCTCTAGCAGGGGAGAGCAAGGACTGCCCGGGAAAGGGGCCGCTGGCGAAGTTAACCACCCTGTAACAACATACATATGATGTAACTGCCGTACTGTACTTCAGCTAATACACCATCACAGCCGTTTTACCACTTCCGTGGGCCGCATTTGCGGCGCACCTTGTTGTGGTGTTGCGATTCCCCCGTTACGTGCTATATGATAATATGATTCTCCTCCGAAGCGTATGACATGTAATGTCTATCCATGGGTGCGCACCCTTTCACATACTTCTGTCTTATGCACTTCTGTCCTTGCGCGTCAGGCAACAACGTGGTCTGCTGAGCTCATTGAGCCATAGCACCATGAAACTGTACCAGGCATACGGGGAACGTAACCCGACGTTTCTTTGTGTCGCGCGAACTACCGGAAGATGCCCCGTTGTGGTTTCTTTTCCATTCTATCCTTTATGACATAGCATGTGTGCGCTCATGTTGGCCTGGCTGCTGCTCCGGCAGATTTATCCTGTTGTGGATGCAGGCAACCTTAGAAAGGTTTGTACGGTTCCCTTGCACACAGCCTAATGTCTTTTGGGTCATCGGAGAAACCGTCAATCGACAGCCCAAATTAGTGTCTATTACTGATCCGTAACTTAAAGCCAGCCCACATGAAACCTTTGCCGTTACCAGTTTATGCCGCACATGGCTAGTCTCGACATTATTAGCAGACATCACGACCGAAACCGGAGGTTTCGTCAGATGGAAATCAGGTATCTATTTCAAATGCAGATGTCACTTCAGAGACTGGTAGCGTGCCTGCTCTTGACCATCTGCGTGCGGCCCTTACCTTTACCTGCGCTCGACTGTGCGAAAATGAAAGAAGTTGTTGCCATAGTTTCATTGGCGACATTGGCAGAAATCTTAAGGTCAGAAGTCTCACCAGCCTGCTCAACAGCGACTTAGTTTTGTTCCATTTGGTAACTACGAGCGACGAGAGAACGTAGTCCCTTTCAAGCATCGGCCAATATGCCATGTGGCAGATGCTTAGTTGATTAAAATGCCATCGATTAGGCGCCACGCGCGTGCGGGAGTCTGTGCTGGTGAAGAGGAACACGTTACTAACATTCAGGCTACCGATCGAAACATGAAATAATTTTCTGGAACAATCATGCTTTCCTTTAATGCATAGTGGATCAGCAACTAAAGAAACTGTTAAGCGCACGAGAAGTGAAATAAAGCAACCATGCACACATTGCGGATGAAGCTGACAGGCCCAATGCAGAACTCGTTTACAGAATGAACTGGTAATTCCATAGCTCGGGAGACATAGGTTAAAGTTACGCATAGGCTGTACGATCGTACGGCAGTGTATCACATTTCTGTGCTTGCGTTGACGCAAGCCTGTAAGCCTAGCATAAGGGTTTTGCATAGTTAAAAGGATTCGTTGTTGCATTTTTGTATCAGAGCGGCGTGCCAGCTCTTCTGGCCCCTGTGGGCTGATGGTCGAAGAGCGACCGATACTGCAACGCCATATCATTTAAGCGGCGTTTAATTTATTGGCATAACATCGAAAATTAAGCTAATGACGGCATCTGGGGCGGCTCACGTTACAGCATCCGCTGGGGTGCAACGCTCTGGCAAGAGCTCGACTACCGCGCTACAAATTGTAGATGAATTCCAAGCTGATGAATATGATGAGGATGAGCCGGAAGTTAATGATAACGACGGGGCCGACGAAGGGAATGGCAAGGAGGGCAAAGAGTCAGGCAAGCTAGCTACCTGGTTCAAGTCGTTGTTCAGCAAGTCGAAGGACAAGAACTCATCAAAATCGAGCAAGCGATCGTCGTTATCAAGCTCTCGCGCAACGTCGACGACCCACACGCCTGCACTCCCAGCCAAGTTGGCGTCCCCCACCTCCTCTAAGCCTATAAGCCCAACAACACCCAGCAGCCAAGAAGCATCTTCCGCCTGTGTACAACCTGCCTCTCTTCGGTGCAAAAGCCCAAGCCACAATGCGGCGACATCGCCAAACGGCACCACCTCTCCACGCCAGCAAGTTGCCAAGCCCTCTACAACGGGGAATGCCGAGGAATCAGCATGTGTATCGCCTTTCGCACAGGAGTCGGGTGCTGTGGCCGCTGAAGCAGTCGTCACATCTCCTAGTGCACGCGCAAAGTCCATCAGCCTTAAGTCAGAGTTGCAGCGGCTTCGGAACTCAGTAATCCAGCACTCTAAATCGTTTACAGAGCTTTCTTTGAAGGCCAAGGTACGCGGTTTTACTGGATCCGTCGCTGGGGTTCAGGCCAATATTGAGCACGTTAAGTATGCCACGTGCGGACGTTCACAGCTGGCATACAAAGTAGTTTGCTTTAGTCAGTTGGTTGTTCCTATAGTTGGCTTCCTCGCCCAGTTCAAGAGCGCATCGTTTCCGCTCCCGTGCACTGTCCTGCAGACGATACCCAAGCGAGGGAATGAGCTCCTGATTGTGTCTCCATCGGCACCTCCGCGCATGCAACGGGCAGAGTGGTCTCTCCGAGATTATGCTGTCGTGGAAAAGATGTACAAGGTGGGCTGTCCAGCTCCATTCCCCTGCCAGTGCTCTCTCCATTTCGCACTTTTACCGTGTGTAAAACTGGATCGCATTCAGCAATGAGGCGTGGTGCAACTAATGCCATGTTGCAAGCTGCGGCCGGCGCACGCTGTTACCCCATATACATATACAACACCGGGTCGCGTCTTTCATGTCAGCGAGGAATTATGTTTTTCCCCCCTGACCCTCCTTTCGAATTGCTTTGTTGTGTCCACCATCGTCCCCAATTACCAGGGCTATGCGAGCAGCGTGTATAAAGCATTTTGCAAACGCTCTGGCGAGCTCGTGTGCTTGAAGGCCTACGACATGGCTGCTCTGTGCGAGCTTAATCGTTTTCAGATTTACAGGTGCGCACTGCTACTGAGCGCTTGGTACCGATCCATCCCGGAAAACGGTTTAAGGAAGCCCGTGCAAGGAAGACACCAACCTCCTTTTTGCTTCAATTTCGGTTCTGGCATAATAAACATTCTCTCACGAGCATACGAAATGCACAGGAGGGAAAGTGAAGAATGCGGGCGCTGGAGCAAAGTTAGGTTAGAGCTTTATTAGTAGTATCGGAGTCCCAATTCGGGACTTTGGGAAGAACAGAGAGTATTGCGCCACGCCACACGCAGGAACTCAGGACGTGGACTCAGGGTTGTTCATAAGGGGGCCATGGTAGGGACGTCACCAAGGCCTCTGCTCCGATGTTGCTCAGCCGGTTTACTTGTCAGTAAGGCCAAACTTGGGCCCGGTGGGCTTTGACCGACAGGCAGAGCGTTTAGCAGGGCAGCTGGGGCTGCGGGGCTTCTCTAATCTCACTTGGCTAGGTCGGCTGGGCAAATAGCGACGATTAGGCTACTACTACGGAAGGCACCTGGTTTGGAGGCAACCCTTGCTTGGAGGGAGCCCTCCATGTGAGAACTGTGTGGCGCGAGCTTGCTGGAGCAAAGAGGGAGTTACTGCCGCCGTGCTGATCCTGCGTGTTTGGTCTCATGTAGACTGCGCGCTGGTCCCGGGTCCCAGGTCTTCATGCCAGCTGGCCCAAACACCTGCCAGTCCAGTGATATGCAGTCCTCTCCCCATCCGAATCTTGCGGCACTGCAGGGAGGTGCAGCTGCATGGCAAGCTGGCGCACAACAACGTCATTGGGTTGTACGGTGCGTTCCAGGTGGACAGCCAGGTGGTGATGGTGCAGGAGTTTGCGGATGGAGGAGATCTGTTCACGTTGCTGCACCGGTGGGTGGGGGATGGGTGGTGGTGGTGGTGGTGGGAGAGAGGATGAGTACGGTGACCCATGTGGTGGAAATGGTGGGTGGGTACAAGGGCTGCAAATAAAATGGATTTGACCATTTGGGCAAGATGTAGTGATGTGCATATGCAGAAGGAACACCGCCAAGGACCCGAAAGGACGCGGCTAAGGAAAGCGTTACATAAATCAGCCTTAAAAGGTCTCCCTGTCAAGGACAGGACAGTCGTTTTTATGCTCAAAATGGCCCTTGGGCCCCCTCAGGGCTCCTGGTATGGGCCCGTTACGCCTTTGGAGAGTAACGCAACTCCAGGTGGTGCAACACACGCACACAGCATGGAAGAGTGCTAGTGGCTGGCGGGGGAAGTGGAACCTGATTCCAACTGTATAAGGCAAAAGCTAAGAAGTAGGTTCGGAATAATGTGTTGCTGAGTCCTAAGGCTCGGGCCCAGGTCGGAAAGAATGTCTTTACTGTATGCCGCTCTGCAGTGTTTGCACAAACTGTGTGCCATTGCATTTGTATTTGGGGTAAGGGCTCGTGAATCAAGGAGAAAGGCAAGAGGTTATATAATACCGAGGTTATATAATAAATCGTGTTTCGGTTTTGCTTCCCTCCGCCATGCTTCCCGCTCGCCAGGTACGGCGGCCGCATGCCAGAGCGCCAGGCTGTTGAGATGGTGCTGCAACCCTGCCTGCGCGTGCTGCTCTATTTGCATGAGCAAGTGAGTGATTGATTATAGCTGTATACATCTACCCCTTGTATATATGCATTTACCCCTTGTATATATGCATTTACCCCTATGCATTTACCCCTAAGATGTATCTATGCATATACACACATTTATACAAGGGGGGTAAATGTAGGAGTTTGTGAGATGATGGGGTGTCCTTTGATAAGGGTGAATCGGCGAAGCTGGATGTTGCCACCTGTTGCTGGGTTGGACTAGCCTTGGAGACGTCGAGTTGTCACAGCCGTTGTCGGGAAGCATCCCGCTCACGTGGATGCACCTCTGCACCTTCACGAGTAGGTCGCGGGGCAGCTGGATAGGTCCAGAGGCCATTATGTTATCCTGGTTGGGGTTGGGGTTGGGTTTGCACGGAGGGCACAGGTGCCGATAGTGGTGGCATACGATGTGCCGATTTGTGTGCTGTGCTGTGTGTTTAAACAGGGCGATGTTACAGAGGGCGAAATAGCCTATGGTATGGTGCGATGTGGCGTTGTGTCTGGGGGGTGGTGCAGCTGTGCTACGGACGGGGAACGCCACTAGGAAACGGACTCACGGCTCAAGGTGACCAGCGGGCTCGCACCGCTTCGTCTTGGTTCTTGCACATGTGTCTACTCTCCGCCATGTAACGCCCTTCCACTCACCACGTATATATTTCTTTCCATGGCACCCGTTGTTCGATTGGACGTTAGGGCATCCTCCATCGCGATCTGAAACCCGAGAACATTCTCTTCACGCGCAACATGACCTTCAAGTTGTGCGACTTTGGACTGGCGATTGACCTGCGCGACGAGCGAGCCGTCACGAGAGCGGGGGTGAGCTAACTGCCGGCAGGCTGGCGGGTTGGGCGCCTAAACGGGCCGCAGGGCCCTTGGTGCTTGAGGCTTTGAGAAATCCTGGAGAGGTGCTTTGTGGGCGATGGCACTAGAGTGAGCCTGTGAGCCGTGACCACATCATGGCATCTGGGTCATCGTGCAGGAAGGGAGAAAGGGTAGGGCGGTGTGTGGCGTGTACTTGCACGCGCTCCCCGTAAATAGTGATTTAATCATACATAGTTCTTCAGTCTCTGAGACCTGAGTTGAGACGTTCAAGTTAATGTGTAATGGGGGAACAGCCAGTACCGGGCCTAGCACCGGCCGACAGCGCTGCCTTGCTGCGGCCTTGGCCCCAGCTTGATAGGCGACGTTGTTTCGCTGCCTAATTACCCATCTGCCGCTACTTACTGGAGAAGCGGCGGAATGAAATCGGGAAATTGCTGTTAACACGTGCCTTGAATCTTTCTTCTGGCGCCCCCCGACCCCGCCGCCACGCGTTCGTTCCCGTCGCCTTGCAGACGCTCGAGTACATGGCACCGGAAGGTGGGTTGGTTGGGCGCGCATTAGGGCAGCGGCGGCTGAAGGGAGGGTTTCGTAACGGTTGGGTCTGGCGGATATGGATCAGGGCAACGACTCGCCCAAAAAGGCATAATCGTCGGGCATAATGGGCAGGCATGGTCGCGCCGGCTTCCTTTGGATTACTGTTACCCCGGGACTTTCCAAATGGGGCACGTACCCGCGCTCCCTAGGCCACATCACATGGGGCACGTTCCCATCTGGGTCATGCCTCACGCAGTCAGCTTGCCTGGCAGCATGATCTTGGTCATAACTCGACCGGAATCCTCATCGGCTGGGCCCGATGGACGCGACCGTGAATGCCTCCCCAAATCTCATTTTTCTGGCGCTGCATGCATGCATGCTTGCCAAGCCTGTTGCGCTGTGGTCAACGCCCAATGGTCCATGCATCCATGTTTGCCCAACGCGATGCTGGCTAACGCAGTGCTCGAGTGCCCCTTCAAGAGCCGACCCATTGACAACAAAGACAACGAGCGGCTGCATTACACCGCCGCGGTGGATGCCTGGGCGGTCGGCGTGCTGGCATATGAGCTGCTCGTGGGGCGGCCGCCCTTTGAGGCACCGGAACGGGAGGGGGTGGAGGACTGCATCCGGCGCCAGGTATGGTCCCGGGGCAGCAGCCCCGAATGCTTTTTGAGATAAAAGAAATATATAACATAATAACAAATGTATACGTATATATAATAACACATAATATAGGTGGAATGATGAAAGGAATGCTTTCCAATTTCTTGTGCGACCTGTGGCTTATGGGGCCCGCCCTCCCCCCAAACAAAGCGCTTGGACTCCAGCAGTTCGGACTTCGGACGCAGGCACTTATCTCTTGAGTTTCTTGCATATGATCCCCCCTAGCAAACCTACACGCTAACGGTACCGCGCACGCGCGTCTTACATTTCCTTTTGGCGGTCCGCCCTGCGCGCGTGTATTGCTGCGCGCGCACTCCGCAGACGCCACGCTTTCCCTTCGGCCTGTCTGAGCTCGCCCGCTCCTTCATCGCCACCGCCCTTCAAAAAGACCCCGAGCAGCGGCCCACAGTCCAGGAAATGCTCGGGCATCCCTTTATCCGCGGCGGGACGCCCGCGCACCCGGCAGCGCAGCGCGCAGCCGCCGCCGCAATCGCCAACTCAGCTACCGCACAGCAGTCCCGACCTGCCGGCACCACCGCTATCGGCGGCGCCGCCGCTACTGCCGCCGGCGGAGGCGGCGCCGCTGCCGCCGCGGCGATCTTGGCTGCTGGTGGTAGCGTCGGCGGCGTGACAGCACCAGCGTCGGCTTCTAAGACTGCCGTCAAGGCCGACAGGATGGTTAGCACGCGCGCCATTGCCGCGGCTGGCGGCATTGAGGATGATGATCTGAGCGTCGGCGCAATGGCCAATCGTATGAAGAGTTACACCGCTGGCAAGGCCATTGCCATCAGCCACCAGGCGCTGCAGGCCAACCGCCATGTGCACCTGCCGCACGCGGGCGAAGACCCCGCCGGCAAAGCGGCACGCGGCCTCGGTGGCGCAGCAGGCACAGAACAATCGACGACGGGGGCTTCCGCGAGCGGCGGCGGCGGCGGCGGCTCGCAGCTGCCAGGCGCTCTGGTCGGACCTGGGCCCAGCCCCGAGCAGCCGGTAAGAGGTTGTGTAAGGGGATGTAATCCGACCCATGGCAGTCTTTTTTGAAGTGCGGTCTCGCCGGAGCGCTTTTCTCCTTCCTTCCCATTTCTGCTGCTTCCCCCTGCGTTTCCAATTAAGTTTACTTTGTTATTTTGCTTCGCTTCCTTTCTCCTTTGTCTCCATCTTGGTCCATCTTTGCACTCCGGCACTTCCACGACCTGTCTCGCACTCTTCTGCTTCGTGGTCGGCCACCGAGCCAAGTCTGTACTCATACTCGTTTCCTGACCGCCCTATCCCGTGCTGCGTTTTGCTCCTGGTTTACGGGCCTAAACGCGGTTGGCCGTCTTGGCGAGCGCTCTATCACCGTCCTGTACCTGCACACCAGTCCGTCACACCGGATTGCATTTCTCTGGGACCCCACAACCCCACCGACATTGCCATGTGCCATCCATCCCCTCGTGCCCGACGCATGCAGATGGGCGGCAGCAAGCTTTCTGGCCTGAATCCCAAGCTCGCCGCATCCCTGGGTGTCGGTCCCAACGCGGCCCTCATGGCCCGCACCGCAAGCGTGTCGCGCCTCATGTGATGAGGACCGCAGGATGCGGGGTGCGGCGGGCGAGGCGGGGGTTGTGAGAGCGCCGTGAGCATGCGAAGGGCCATGTCCCCAATTCATACATGGCTTAGTTGCGCCTGGATGAGCCTGCGGCCGAAATGCTAATTGAACGTAAAAGCAGATTGATGTGTTGCCTGTGATCTGATTATGTATGCGATGCCTTTTGATGTATGTATGTATGTATGTAGTGACCCGCATGGACCCGCATGATCCCGGCTTTGGAGGACATCACCTGCAGGATATTTTCGCTGCGCGTGGTTTCTCGTGTTGTTTGCGCGTGGTTGCGTGGACCCCTGCACCCGGGCCGGAGGACTTACTCCGAGGCCAAAGGGACCAAGCGCGGGACCGACTGCTGCATAGAGTAACAGGGTGGTTCAATGCACGACACAGCACGTGATCGACGATCGAATCGATGTTATGTAATCCTTTGTTGCTTGCGATGTACTTTCACGACGGGGGCTTGAGGGGGTTACTGCAGCGGTCTGTTACAAGTGCGGCGTGAGCCGGCGGCTGGCCCCGCGCGATGGTACCAACCTGGCGCCGAAGAGGCGCCAGAGGCGCGCGCGATGCGATGTAGACTTTAGCTATCAAAACTTTCACTTTTTGATTGAAAGTGAAAGTGTGACCTAATAATACTGTGGATGTGCGACGCCAGAGCGGCCCTGGCGGCCATTCAAATTGAGGATGCTAAGGAGGACGGTAAGGGACCATCCCGCTCACGTCCACACCGGGATCAGGTTCGTGCTGCCAGGTCGCAAATCCTTCCCTTCGTTCGTTTACCGACCACGATGATGCGCCGTGATCGTGATGACGAGATGATGAGAAATGCGCTGCCCAGGTTTGCAGCTCGGTACCGTGTTGTATATGAGGAAGGCCGGGGGGCCGGTATCCCCTCACAGCCAGCACCTTTGTCCCGGGCGGCATTTGTGTTCGTCCGCATCCCATAGCGGCGGCCTTGTCCTCTCACTACTCCACGATGCCTTTCCACCCCACGCGGCAGACGCGGCAAGATAAAAAAAGAGGGGCTGGTGTCGCTGCACCTGGCGGTCGAGCGGTCCTGGCATTTGGTGGTGGCGTTTGCGTGCTTTGTTTTCGTCTGGCCCCCGGGACTATGAAAGAATATGTCTCAGTGCAGCGGCTGTTATGTGGGAAGCGGAAATGTACAGTGGTAATTTTGGCGGGCGTCGCCATTGGAGGAATACTTTTACTGGTTGACGGGGTGAGGAGCAGCCGGCTGATTGGTTGCGAGAGCGGTGCTGGTGCTGGTGCTGGTGGGTTGTTGTGTGCGATATGCGACCATAGGTGCTCTCCTGGCCATGCTCCCCAGGTTTCTGGGTGACTCCTCCGGGGTCCAGTCCACAGCCTTCCCTGCTAAGTAGTTTGGTGCCACGTTTTCGAAACTGATGGACAGGGGGGTGGGGGTGTATGAAGGTGCTGAGCTAAGGAGCGGCTCCCTAGGGCTGGACCACCACACAGACGTTTTTGGACTGACTGAATTTCTCTGCACCGCCTCGGTTTTATGCGGTTTTGGGGGGCTACGGCATTTTTAAAAGTTGCTTCGCAATGGGCCAATTTGCCGCATCCGGCCGGCCCGTGTGGATCCATCCGGCAACGTGAAACGCGTGCACGTGATGCGTCGGCGTCCGGCTCCCGTATCGTGCCGGGCCGTGCTGTCGTGGGCCATGCAGTGCGGTGGGTGGCGTGGGGCATGCAATGCATACATCATGGTGAACACATGAGACGCACGCCTCAGAGGATGACCACATGAGACGCACGCCTCAGAGGATGACCACACTTTCGCCGACATGCAGCGGCATGTGCTGCTGCTACATCTTCCACAAGCACGCGCCTTCTTTCCACTCATGTTCATGGCTCAAGACCGTGGTTGTACTTTGGGACGGTAGGATATTGCGCATGGATGACTGCGCATCGCCGCAAGGCCTAATTGTTGCCTTGCGCAGTGCGATGACAGTATATGATGCCTTAGGCTTGTCGTACAGTTTGTCAGGTTTGTCAGGTATGCTGTATTGCATCGCGCTTCGTACATGGCAGGCGGGAGAGGAGCGTTAGGTGGGTCTGTCTAGCCACAGACACACAGGTGGGCGGAAGTGAACCCACGTGTTTGCGAGGGAGGCGCGATTTGAAAATGGTACCCCCTGTTGCATGTGACGCCCATAGAGCCGGCGAAAGCGTGATGCCCGCGAGTTGCCTGTGCGTGTGTACACTTGCCTGCCTATATTGACTTGCTACCTGCGCATGTATGTGTAGTATTGCGACCCAAATGACTCCTGCTTGCGTGTTGGTGTTTGTTTGCGTGGACGACCCTTAACGTTTTGCACCAGAGTCTCTGACGAGTGAGTCTTACGGTGTCCAGGGAGGGGCATAGCAAGTAGGGGGGTCGGTCGGCGATTCGGTTGTTTCCAAGGACTCCTCAAGCGTGTTTCACAAACAGATCCGGCGGGGGGGGGACGCAGACTCTTACCGCATATATGTACAGCTGACTCATTCGTCTGCAGCTGCGCGGTGCAGCGCACAGCGCGCACGCAGCGAAATGGAATTATACGGCGCAGCACGCCACAGCAACACAACCCGATGCCTTGCCAACAACGTGCTGGCTCCGCAACCGGGTTAGCTTGTGTCCATTAGGAGCCTTTTTGACCGACGGCTGCGGGTTTGGCGCGCCGGGTGGGCCATAACGCAATGTGTGTGGATAAACGGAGTGACTGGGGGTGTATACCTGCGTTGTGTGTTGTTGTGCGGGACTGACTGGACTGAAGCACGAAGCCTCGTTAAAACGATTACCATCGGAAAAAGGCGGGAGCGCCTGTGCTCTACTGCACCGCCGTCTTACTTACAAGGCGTCACGGAGTTCTGCGGTACATAACGTGTTTCTGTTGCGGTAGTTTAAAATTTCGAAGGGCGCGGCCGTCGCGGGTCACGCAAGTGTGGGCCAGGGAAATTTGAAGAGAAACGCGCATGGTATGTGAGTAAGAGGAGTATTTGGAAAAAAATGGGTTGGCGGGCAGGCATCCGCCGCACCTCTCCTTTGTATCGCTTCCTGACATGCTGTGTTCTTCTGCCTCTGCCGGTGGGCTGGGACCTTCAGCTGGCCTGCGTGCGTCATAGGACGTGGTACGTGGAGGTTGCTTTGGTTTTGGTGCTTTCGGCCCACCGTGTGTGTTGAATGAAGCCCTTGGATGCGCGCTTTGGGGCGAAAGGGCCGGCCGGTGCCGAGCCCGTTCCGCACTTTACAGCATAATGATCAGCGATGCAGTTAGAGGTAAAATTTATTGGCCGCGCCTGTTGGCCATCGGCCTTGCGTACAGCAGTCAAGGATTTGTCCGCGGCTCTGCTTCCAGGCGCAACGACTGCCAAATGGAAGAGGGTTGGGTGGACGGCTATTCGGGGATGGGTGCGCCTGAAGATGAACAGACCAGTGCGTTCGTCCGTTTGCGTGTGCCTCCAGTGCGTATGTGCGTATGTGCGTATGTGTGCGTGTCTTTATGTACCCGGTTCTCTTGACAGCACCGTACCCCGCCCTCACGCGCCTTCACTACCAGCGTCCATCCGGCCCGTTAGTCTTCCACCTACGCAAGCGAGTGTACTTTACGCGATTGACTTTACCCTTTCCTTGCAAGGGTGCTGGTGCCAGCGGGCCGTGCGGACTCTAGTATCAATGTATGTATGTGTGTACAGCTGTTTGCATTCTTGAGCCAGAGAGTGGCCAGGTGCAATGTAGCTCACCGCAGCACAGCGGCGGCTTCACGGACGAGGGGCTGTCGCGGGGCGACAAACATAAGACATGCATCGGCGATTGAATGTTGCCGCAAAGGCGGGTTCCAGACAATGGCAAGACATCTGGTTCTCCTCTCATCGCGATACTGTTGACGGGAAGTGTCGCGGTCGTGTAGGAGCTTGGGATGCTTTTCCCTCGCTGCTGTCCTCATCCTCCTCAGGTTCACGGGGGGTAGTGGGTGAGATTAGACTGTGGTGCTGTCGCCGTCAGACGTGGGGTGAGGAAGACGTGGGGTGAGGAAGACGTGGGGTGAGGATGACGTGGGGTGAGGAAGAACGGGCGGTGTGGTTTTATGGAGGCGGCCCGCCAAGCGGGAACAACGTCGCTGTGTGTGTCTTGAAGCATGCAAAGTGAAGAAAAAACAGGCGTCGTGAAGTTGAACAACACGAACACTGAACTAAGAAGGCCTCTTGTCGAAGGCTTTGCGCCCGTCCGCTATATGTCGTGAGGAGCGGGCAGGGCCTTACCTGCCCCGCTTGGGGTGTTGAAAGTTTGTGTCATCGCCTTGTCGCACGCAGCATCACGGATGCGGCAAGGGATTGCTATCTAGGACCGATTCCCGAGTCAACCTGTTTTGTGCAGCGGTCCATGGCGGCGTTGCTCAGTGCGATAACTGCGTCAGTCATCTTTTGCGAAGGCTGAACTCGTTCCCTGAAGCTAATCTGAAATTGAGAGGGTGAAACTACCGTCGCGGCTGCATCGCGGGGGAGCCCGTGGACACATCTGTAGGTGAACCAATATAGTTTTTTTTCGCGGCTGGGGGCCCATGTTGGGCCGTTGGTCAGGCGCCAGAGTACTGACAGTACCGACCGCCGGCAGTGACCCTGTGCACCATTTCCGGCCTGTACACGCGGCATTGGTAAAGGCGCTGTCATGCTTTAGACGTATTTATTACATGTGTATGTTTCGGAGTGGAGGTACTTCTCACTGTATGACCGCGGCAGCTGTGTTTTGAGGCATTGTACTTGCCTATTCGAGTCGCATGTTTGTATGATGGGATCTGCATAATTAGGTTCTTTGTAGGGAAGCATGTTGCGATGTACATCGTCTTGGCCCTGGGGCAAGCTGTGCAGGTGTCGGGCTGCAAATCCTATCGAGGAGCTGCAGCACCACCTCATAACAGCGATGCTTAGCGGTCGTTCTGGCGAAATTGCGTCCGGGGACATCCATTGCAGCAAGAGTCGGGACGAGCCAAGCACCTATTGCTGATGAGGCTGTGCAAGGATCAAAGCGTTTTGCAGCCCTATGGAACTACCTTTCCAAGCGTCAGCCTTTTTCCTATATCCCTTGCCGCATCCTCCCCCTGTTTGGGGCACCGGATTCGGTCGCGTGGACACATCGATTCTCCGAAAGGACCCGGAGTCGGCATAAGCATGGCCATAAACCCACGCGAGTCTTAAAAGCAAAGCCACGCTATTATACTAGCAAGTTTGTTAACATGGAGTTCATGACAAAGATGCCATGTCGCTTCAATAAAGTTTTTGTAGTCCCCGCTCTTGAGGTATCCTCGGAAGCACAAGAGGTTTGCACTTAACTGCAAGTCCAATAACTTGGCGCTTGGTAACCCCATTCATGGCGGATCAATTGGATCCTAAGTTCCGGAAGTCTGAGACCAATCCCTGCTCTAGACCGCATGGTCCTCGCGGAGATAATCTAAGTAATATCATTGACCAGCCCATGTATTAATAGCATCGATATTGTGAAGATGTGGGGTATGCCTGACGATCCTTATGCATCATTGAACTCGAACGAATTTGTACGGATGAAGGGAATTATTTCGAACATAAGGGTTGCATCGGCGGAATCTGTGTAAAGCACTATCAGATGACACACCTACACGTTTCGATTGTCTCTCCGCCTAGTAAAAGAGCAAACACAAACACTATGCCGCGAGCTTCTGAAGATACGCTGCCACCAGGGGGCTTGGATATCGAGTCTCAAAGTTCTGATAACAAGGCGAAGCCGCAGCTGCCGCTAACGGTTCCTGCAAAGGAGGCAAAGCCTTGGGTTCGCGGCGACCCAGGTAGAGCTCCGTAAGCTGTCATCACGGAGCGGGAGTAACGAATTAAGTCCCTCTTGCGTTTTTACGCAGGACCTTTTGGACTCTTATGTTTCGGCATGACTACCTGGTAAGACTAAGGGTGCGTCCTCTCCGTGATGCACAAGGCCACGGCCCATAGTTTCTTCGGATTTCCTGTATTACTGTGTAGTCCGGCCTTCCAACTTTCCGAATATGTTTTTGCTATGCGTCCCGACTTCTGGTGGAACGGCTCGGCGGATGTACCGGATTCGTTCCTGCCTCAGCATGCTAATGTTCATCACGACGAAGTGAGTCCTGGTAAAGTTACTGGATTAAGCTTGTTTGTTACTTCTTGCCTATGTTGAATTGCTGTGTTGAATTGCTGTGGAATAACCACATTTTCCTATCCAACCCAGATGGAGTGAAACCCAATTCCTGCCGACCGTATTCTGTTACGCTATGTTCTACGGCGGGTTTGGCCAGTTCGTAGCCGGAGTTCTCGAGGTAGGTTGAGGCGGAACGCATCTGGGAAGCCCATCTCCTTGACCTGCAACCTTGACCTGCCTCGACAGTTCTGTGGGGTGGGTTGGCTGACGACGGGCCGGCCAGCCCCCTACTATGTTCTTGAGCGAGACGCACCCTTTCCTATTCTGGATAGACATTTGGACAACTCTCCACACGAACCTGGCCCCCTGAACAACTCCCTGGCTTGTAATTCCAAACAACAGCTGATCAAGGGCAACACGTTCGGAGGCACCGCTTTTGCGAGCTACGGCTGCTTCTGGATGGGCTGGTACGCGTACTGTATGCATATCGCAATGTCCTTCGGTAATGAGCCTTGTCGAATAACCGGTCAACTCCCGCGCTTCGGAATGCCAGGTTCCTGCTCGAGTATCTTTCGTACGGCAATAAGGCCGGATATCCGGCGGCTCGAACCGGCAAGACCCTCTGGTGTGCACTGTGGGCTGTCCTCACGGCCGGTACGTCGCATCCCGTGTTATGGGTTCCATTCCTCTCCTAGCTAGATCCTGAATGGAACGGGGTACGTGCTGCTTCCTGCTCACCTGCGTCGTTTCTTTCAGGGTTTTTTGTGGTAACCTGCCGCAAGAATGGTTGCCTGATGACCATCTTCTCAACCCTGGTCATCACCTTCTCGCTGCTGGCTGGCGGAGTGTGGAACGAGAACTGCGAGCAGGCCGCTGGCTACTTTGGCTTCTTTTGCGGTGCATCCGCCATCTACGCCGCATTCGTTTTCCTGTACAAAGAGGAATTGGGCATTTCATTGCCTGGCGTGCGCCCTGTGGCCTTCATTTGAAGGCGCGCGGGAAGGCGGAAGGGGGGAAGCAGAATTCCGTGCTAGCCGTGTAGCATCGGACTGTATGCCCTGCACCTTCACACCCCTTGAGTGAGTCAGTGTGCCTTACGTGGGTATGCAGCAGCCATAACCTTAACGTCATAGCGTGAAGAAATGGCATTGAATAGGCGAAGAGCGATGCCTTTGTTATGGGTAGCTAGCTGAGAATCGGCCTTACAAATGTGATATCCTGTGGGGTTATCTATTCGGTAAATGATGATGCATGCGGCTTTCGTCAACGGACGGCGGCCGCGGCTGGGGCGGCAAACCCACGTCGTGAGAACGTCAGCAGAGACAGGCAAGGGGAAAGGTCTGCGGCCTGCGGAAGCTAAGGGTCCACTCCAGGAGCAGGAGCAGAGCATTTGGGGGGAGCCATGTTGTGGGGTTCTGTACCGTTGTCACTCTGGGTGTGCTGGTGTGCTGATGATGGTGTGCAGACTCGATGTTTCCATACCGACCTTGCAGCTGCGCTTAGTGCGCCAAATGGGTGCCATGTGCAGCTGTGCGCAAGCGACCTCCACGGGTTTCAGTTTTTGAATTATTGCTGTTGGCGCGTGATGATCATTGAGGTCATGATCGTCATTGAAGTGACAAATGTCGATTCTTTTCCTTCTTATTTAAAGTGCGGGCGCGGTTGCAGTCCTGCGGGAGTAGAGGAGTGCACTTGCTCCCGAACCCAATTGCGGTGCCAACGTCATGGACGGGGGTTCTAATAATGATGGTGGAGGTCGGGACCATTCGTCCAAGCTACCATTGCACTTGCGTATTTCTTGGCTGGGTCAGAAGGGCGGCTGAGTGCAGCTGAATGAATTATTTGGGGACAAATCCCAGGCAACAACGAAACCATATGATGAGCGCAGCGGGAGAGTGAGAAGCGTGTTGGATGGCTGTGGGAAGGGACATGAAGAAGGCATATACGGTAAATGGGCGAATGGACGTGTGGCTTCAAGCGCTCAGAGGCGTGGCTGCCGGATTGGGCTCAAATCTGGGTTGTGTCGAAGGGCGGAAGGGGACAGCAAGGTGAGTTTGTGTGTTGGCGAAACATTTTGCAAAGACTCTGCAGATTGGTTGGCGCATTGCAGCTACTGCATTTGCTGAACACATTTATGGGATGGAGTCTCGGGGATCCATGGACTGCTTGGTTTGCCTCTCGCTGAAGTAAAGCCACCGGAAGTTAGGCTCGTATTGCAGAGGGTTCAATAATGCAGCACTGGGCCCGCTTTGTGACGTGCTTTCTGTGCATCAACCCGTGATGTCTTCGCACCAGTGAGGAGTGTTAAAGTATTGATCACTTTCTTCCCTTCATTTGTATGTTTTGTTATAACGTGGCTATCAGCAGGGCCCAGACACAAGACCCTCGGCTTTGGGGCCTTCTGGATTTGGGTTATAACTGTTCGCTGCGGGTATTTCCCGCTGCGGACTTCAAATAATCCGGTCTTGCAGGCTTCGCACTCAGATTGTGGGCCCTGCATGCCAAGCGTGTGCTGTCTGTATTTTTAATCGAAAATCTTATGTCATGTGACAGCATTAACTTAGAAAGGGTTTTTGCGAAATAAACGCATGTGAGGTGTACGGTCGGTTATAGAGTTCGGCCATTGTGTAGGCCTATGTTGGATGCGGATGCGGATGCGGTATTTAAGTCGTGTGGACATGCTGTTTGCTTCGCGCACCAGGGATGCGGCCGCAACGTGGCTTTGGTACATAACTGTGTCATGCATGCGCCAGGTTATGGTGTTTCTTTTTATGTCGTGACCAGCTGCGCTGTCACAAGATAGCATCCAAGGTGTAGAGAGGGCTAAGCATTGCTGAGAGCTCCATGTCGCGCAGCTCAGCTGCGTCAAATAAACATCACGTGCATCATGGCCCGTCGGGGCATGATATAAGGACGATACGATGAACGGACACGATGTACGAAGTGTTTGCCTGCGGATAAACGGACCAACGCTGCTGATGGCATTGGTGGCGCTTTATTGACCGACGTGCATACGCAGATTTTGGCTGTCGGGGCTTTCAGTGGTGCAGTGTGCACCCACCACAATGTATGTGCCCGCGATGTAATATGCGCTCATGCGGTGCACTTCAGATGGTCAGAAGTAACGCGCATGTCCAATACTTCTCCAGGGTTGAGAGCTTGAACACTGCAAAGAGAGCTTGAAGCATTGCAAATCAGGTCGGTTCAGGAGCGAAGCCGTGAAGAAAGCCATCAGAATTCTTTGCGTGCACAGTCACTGGCCACCGAAAAGTGCATGAGCCATATGTCCAATCCTGGTCCGCGATGAAACTCCGACTCAAAAACATCAGATGCCCTCACGTTCCCTCACGCACCGACATGTCCCTAATTTGGCAGCTCCGCGCGGCCTGGCGTCTGCAAGCAATTATGTGACACAAGTTCAGCAAACTCACCCAGCATGGCAGCCGTTTGCTCTCTGGGCCCGGGCTCGGGGAACAACAACGAGTAGCCTTGCCTGGGATATTGATAAGTGGTTCCTGTGCATGTAACGAAGCAGGGCTGAAGGAACCAGTTGATCCCCTTTGGCGGCAGCCATGCGGCAGCGGTGCTCTCTCCCGCACCACAGAATGAGCCGGCCCCAATGGTTACCAAACCCCCGATTGTTCTGTCTGTCAGTGTACAAATAGGATAAAAGGGTTACACCACGACGCGGATTAGGACGGCAGGCAAGGAGGTCATGCGCGACCCAGGAGTTAGCACGTTCAACATCCGCATTAGAGGTATAACGTTATATTTGTAGATCTTAAAGGTATGTAATGTAGAGTCCGCCGGAGAAGGGAGATCACAAGCTGCACCCCACCGCCCCCACTATTATAGGCCCCACTGTGGGAGCAGTATTGTTCGTTAACACTGCCGCTTGCTTTGGGTAAAGACTTTCAGATCCAGCCTCCTCGGTAAGCGCTACAGTTTGTAATGAAGCTGAAGCTTTGCATGGAGGTGTCCTGGGCGCAATCTTCCGCAAACTACAGCGTGTTGGCGATTGCAGGTAATGTGAATTGGTTCCGTATGCCCCGTTTAACAGAGGCCCATCCAAGGTCCGGTAATCCGCGTCATCGAAGCGAAGCAGAGCACAAATAGCTTCCAGGGCCGGTGCGACACAGCACAATTCCGAGCGCAGAGCACGAAGCCGATCCTGGCGGGACTTTTGAACGATTCCCGCGCAAACTGTTAGGCATCCATGGGGGGCAGGGCCACCTGTCAACCTAGGAGGGCACATGGAGATATGTTGTTGTTGTTGTTGTTACATGGTCGTGGGTGCGTTCCCCGTACCTGCAAACCACCCTAATACGAGCCGAGGGCTCAAGGGCTGCCAATACGCCTATGAGCACCATCCTACCACGCACTTCCAACGAAACAAGTAATGAAGGATACTAACGACCAAAGGGAACGATAGAGTTGCGGTGGGACCATATGCGTTCCAGCATCCTTGCCAGGCGTTCAGGTTCCCACTTCATAGCGTCCTTCATATGCTCGTGGGAAACCCATACATAATAATCTTTTGGTATATTAGTCTCTACTGCAGTGCACGGCCAGATGGCCCGATGGCTCTACTCTTCGAGAGTCTGGAGCCCACTGTAACAACCACACACACACATACATGGAGATATATTTCGCCTGCGTAAGGCTGCTGTCGTAATTGTGTCTTGGGTGGGCCTCGGGAACTACAGAGCAGCGTTGCAATAATTAAAGACAGTACTTTGGTCTGGAGGACAGGTAGCTTGGGTTAGCAAGTAACGTTAATGGATTCGTCTGTCTAGCTTACGGGCGTTACGGGCAGCTAGTCATAAGGTTACGGGTTTTGGGTGGTTTCCAAGCCCTGAACGGCCTTTGTGGACTCCGTCAATGTTGTATGGTTGACGGAGTTCAGACTTGGGTAGTGATTGCATCTGTGACATATTACCGCACGGAGGGACGACTAACAAACAGTCCAGACCGATGCGATGCGAGGCCATCCCATGGAAAGCGATGCGTGGGGTAGCCGTGCATCAGACAAACGAAGGTCGATTAAGCATGGAAACCCTACCCGATCAAGTCTTTGCTGTTAAGGAACCTAAGGTGTAAGGCCCAACGGGTAACCCTGTCTTCCCGTCGTCTTCGACGTCTATAACGCATCAACAAACACAGCTCTATCTTAAAGCTTTTTACATCATTACTAGGGAAGACTACATTCTAGTTCTGGAAGCTTTGTACATGTCAATCGCATTTGGTGAAGCTAACTTAGGTAATAGGCTTTTGCCTCTTCTTTAAAGCGTCATTCCTACGGCACCTGGTATCTAAGGAGGGTATTTCTAGGCGCGCGGCTGGAGCGTTCGGGTCGCCGTTCGACTTTGCGCCGAGGTCGGCCAAGATGAGGCATTTTGGCCCCAATAAAACTGCGCTGCATTTCAGAAGGGCCAAAAAGAGGGCTGCCGGGGGTCAAGATGAGGTAAAGAGCTTGGCTTTTACGTATAACTAAGCTTTTTCTGTTTTACGCCACGCATGCAATTTTATATGAGGTACGATATTGCACTTTAACAGGCTGACGAGCCCCAGAAATATCGACTGGAGGAAGGGGACGGAACGGCGCATGCACAGCAAATTGTGCGCGAACTCTACCTCAGATATGAAAAGCAGCTGCAACGATGGAAGGACTACAGGAACCTTTTCTTGTTCCTTGGATTCGTTGCCCTCTTCCTAGCAATTCTTTACACGCAGCGCAGCGCGGAGGTCGCTTACAAAGTACACAGCACCGTGGAGTCCGTTGTCCTTCCCAGCGACAGCGTCATGCAGAATACGGATGAAGTTTATGACTGGCTCAAAAAATTGCTGACGGTAAGAGGGCCACATATCAGTCGTGTCTCTCCGGCTACCAAGCAAGCAGACGGAGCTGACGGGAGGTCTACCATCACTGCACATGCGACACAGGGCATGGTTGTATTCTTGGAACCCACACATGCATGCAACTCGACATGTCCCGCATATGATACTTATCGCATGTTCTTCGCCGCGGCAGGGGGTGTCGAGTCCCTCTGCCACCTGCATGCATGCGGTCTGGCTTCGTGTGCCATCATTTTCCACCATGTGCTCCTCACCAAGCCACATAATGCTAGACCCATCCTTATAACCATAATTAACCCCTGCAGCCAACCACTAGCACCCCGGGTGGCCTGGCAAAAGTGAAGAGCCACACTTGCATAAAATCTCCTCCCTAAAAAGCGCAAAAAAGTGCGCAAGCATGCCACGCAATCCAACAGACTCGCCGTGGCACGGCGCACCGCCACGATATGCCCTCCAACCAACCAACTACGCTTCCACCCCACAAACACCCCCATTCCAATCCCGCAACAACACGCCCCCCCAATAGGAAGTGTGGAAGGACCCCGTCTGCGGTGATGGCCTTTGCGAGGCGCCTTTTGAGTTCGCGTCTTACAGTCGCTTCGGCTGCCGTGCGGATTGCGGCAAACTGAACGAGGTGCAGAACCTGACCACCATCCAGCTCGACGTATACTACGACTTCTCACACCCCGTTGGCAGCATTCCCGCCTCGGACCTCATGCAACAAGCTTCATGGAACCTGTGCCCAGTTTCGACACCGTACAGTAGCGACTGCTACTATGACTCCGACATTAACTTTGAGCGCCTCTCCGGCGAGCAGCACTTCACATTGGACGACGCGCCCGATGGGGAGTGGAACCTGGTGGTGAAGCGCGACATTTTCAACAAGATCCGCGGTGCCGTGCGTGACGCGACGCTGGTCAAAATAGCAGGCTACTATTACAAGATATATGTCGCGATCGCCGCTGCGGCGTCAGAGCAGGCGTTTGAGAAGACCTTGCTTCAGGTGGGCTTGAGCTTTGGCTTAGCGCGGGGGGGGGTAAGCGCGAGGGGGTAAGCCCCATGTCGGCGAAGAAAAGAGAAGAAGAAGAAGGAAAAGAAGAATGATAGTAAACAAAAGCAGGAGGATAAGTCAGGATGGAGGGAGAACCCGGACCCGGCCGCGATCCAAGTCATGGAACGTCCCGCCCACAAAACGGTGTACAGGCGGTGGAAGGGACTGTTGCGAAGTGGTAAACGGGGTTGGTGGGGGCCATGTACCGGGGCTGGTGGACGGACTTATGGACGGTCCATGAGTTTGGGCCAACGAACCGGCCAAAACTTGGGAGGAGACGGTGCGTGTGTAGCAGATTTCGGGAAGTGGGGGAAGTTTTGTGCGGTGACGGCAGGGGGTCAGCTTTTAGGTATGGGCGCGTGGCGTGGCGTGGCGGCTGCAGGGAACGTGATATGGTTTTGGATCCAGTAGCTGGTGGGCTTCTATGTACGGGTTGAGTCCATGCCTGGATATGCCGGTTGGCCCGCTTGGCGATGGGGCGCAGTGGTAGCCGGTGGGTGAAGGGGAGCGGGTGGGCCTCCAGTAAACTACCGTGTACTGCTGCCAGTGAGGTGACCAGCGCCTATCCTCAAATCGTTTCGGATTCAGCAACCAACGTAGGCGGGCGGACTACGGGGGTGGGTTGGAGTAGTTCGAACCGAACCCCGGCACGACCCAAATCACGGAACGTCTCAAAATGGTTTACGGCGCATGTGGGCGGCGCGGCCAGGGGTGGTAGGTACAGAAGCCAAACGCGGAGGCGACATGCGGGAGGTCGTAGGAAGGAGGGTCCTAGCTCTATGCGGCGGCGTGTGAGCCCTGGGAAATTGGCAACCAAAGGAGGGGCAGCAGCAGTGTTTTCTGGTCTCGCATAGGAAATTAGAGGTTCCGTCAGCGGTATTCCGCATATCCGTCGTTCATCGCAAAAGGAAAGCGCCATGCCGACCGCACCGCTCAGAGATTTTGGTCAACTGGGGCGACAAAGGGGCTGGCTGAGAGGCCGGTGGGGAACCAGCTGCTAGTGTGAAAGGCGGGGTGTCAAATACCCTAGACTAGTGATTCTTGGTCTGGTTGGCCGAGCGGCTATTAACGGCCAGGTTAAGATTTATTGCGGTTGGTGGGCATTCTGATGGGCACAATCTTTCGGTGCGCGCGCCAGCGCGTGTGATTTCGTCTGCCCGGAATTCATCTTCATTCCTTCTTTTCCCGAGGAATGCTGTCTATCCAGGAAGCCCCGCAAGCAGCGAGTGCTAGGAGTAACCACGCGCGTGAGCGCAGAAAACAGTAACCGTCTACAGGCCCCGCGGGATAGCCCGAGTAATGAAGATGCTCTCACCGCTTCGTAACGCTAATGAATTATGGGTGAATGAAATGTGGTAGTGCATGTAGAGGGCGACATGGGCGATATGACTCTTAGTTGCTTGTGTCTTACCGGGGGCCCCCCGGGTCCCTCGTTCCTTGGCCACACTCCGTCTGCTCCCCCCTCGCAGCAAGCGGCGAGCTTTTCTTCAATGGACTTTTGGACATACGCCAACTCGTCCATCCGCGCCGGCTACCCGAATGAAACCGAGTACCTGGCTGCGTATACCTGGGTGCGCAACGCCACGTGAGTGTACACTTACTACCTCATCACTTCTTACTGGCATTCGTTTCCTTCTTCATCTTCTACATGATCCCGTTCACCGTCCACCACAGCCCCGTACTGCACCGCCCGCGCGTCCAGAACTGAAGGAACACTGGTTGCCGGTCCAGCGGTCCAAAGCGCGTTAAAACGTGATTACATCTCCCCCTGCCAATTCATTGCTTTAGTGAGACGCTGCCCACAGCAACACGCAGTAGCACTTGGCGTTGGGCGGAAAAAAGGGGAAGGGGCTGGCTGGGCATGGCTGTGTGCGAGCCCTACGATGAGCAATTCAATCGGCATGCAGTGGGTGGGAGAGGGGCTGTGCCTCCCTTCCCCGGGCCCAAAGGGGAGGTATCGGCGTTTATGAGGATTGCGTGGTGAAGGGAAGGCAGCCTTCGCGTTGGCGCCTGCACATGTTGCGCCTGCGCCTAGCTGGTGGCGGGGCAAACAGGAAAACAAGAGGGCGCGGACAAGGGCGCGGGGTCCTAGGGTGCTGTCCGGGAGTAGCACGGGAGTTAGCGAGCGGGCCGCCTGACCCAAGTGCGAGCCAAACTCGAACAACACAGGATGGGTACAGGTACAACCCCCTGCAGGGAATGGCATCAGTGAAGGGATCGACAGGGCCTGGCCTGTATTCCCTGTAATAGCACTACAGCATGTGAGAGCCGCATTCTCGATTTCCAGCTCCTGTATCGGACACGATCGAACGTGATGGGACTTAGCCACGGCTGGGCGATAGGTTTCCCGCATGCGTGCGTACGTGCCATGTGCAAGTCCACGCATATGCGTATGTGTGCGTATGTGTGCGTACGCCTTGGTCGCATGCAAACAGTGAGCCGGGCCCCGTTGCCACTGTCTTTGCGCCCTCTCATCACCTTCCGAACAATCCAATCCAGTCGGGTTTCCTTTGGTGATTCACACCTCCTCTCACTTTTATACACACACGCACACACACATGCACGCACATACTCACACACACACACACGAACTCTGTCGCTTTACAGGTGCACCTGTAGCACTGTTGACAACAACGGCACCGCGTTTGGTGAAACCAACATGACCCTGTTCCTGAACCAGTCCGTGTCAGCGACCGACGCTAACAAGCCATTCAACTTGACGTACTCTGAATACATTGCGAACCCGTACTACTGCCCAAGTAAGTGCTTTTATTTAGTGTTCCTTGTCTTTTTGTGTATCGTGCTCCTTTTTTTAGCAGTATATATGGGAGGCGGCGTTGCCATCCATCTGCAAATATGGCAAAGGTTGTTTTGTTACGTAACAGCGTACGGTGTGATTAGCGGCAGTTCCCGGTCCCGCAATAGCTAGTCGCTGCTGCAGGCTTTTCCTATAGGAGTAGCAGAACAATTAGTCGCGCTGTCGTTGAGCTCTGGGAAGAGCATAGCGGAGCCGCACCAGGAAGCGTAGCGGGGGCTGTGGGCATGGCATAGGTGACCGAATGGTACAGGGATGCGGGTGAATATTCGCGCGCAATATTCCTAACGACCCGCTCTTTAAGTGCCTCACCCATTCCCAGTTTCTACCCCAATCCCAATCCCTGCTCCCACGCTCTTTGCAACTAATTAAACCTTCCGCATAGCGCCCAATCTGGGCACTTGTTCGCTTCCCAGTTCGCACACAAAACTGCAACACGGCGGAACTGGGAGCCGCTCAAGTGGAAAGGAAATCCACTCCATCTCCACCCCCATCCTACCCACTTCCCGCCTTTACGTGCTGCTGCAGGCAGCAGCGCCATCCAGCCTTACATCTGGAAGACCTACAATGACTCCGCCGGCAACTGGACCCGGACGTTGATGCCCGTTAACACCACCAATGGCACCGCCTATCGCGACTGGTGCGCCGGCGGCCTGGCCCTGTCACTCACCTGGCGCACCAACATGACCAACACAGTGCAGCGCCTGCTTATAGACCGCCGCCTGGGCGATCAAAAGACAACCGGCAAGATTGCAATGCGGAACAACGTCTCTGCCTCGCTACGCACCGACATAATTGCCAATTACCCGGAGCTGTTTGGCCCGGTGTTCTCCGATCCGTCTGGTACAGTCGCGCTTCAGGATCCCATTTCCGCGCGCTTGGACTACCTGATGCCGCTGTACGTGGACGGCACGATTTCGCCGCAAGCCGCCAGCCTTAACATGACGCGGCGATTCGTGTACGGCAGCAATGTGCACCTGCTGGACCTCGGGCCGCGCGCATTGGCTCGCATGCAAGAGGTGGACACGATCCAGGCGCAAGTCCTGGGCTTCCCCATCCCCGCGCCGCGTGCCAGGTACAGCGGGACCGACAAGAACTACACGTTCTCAAACCTAACCGTTGGAGACGTGTGGAGCACGTTCATCCTTGCGGCCGCGAACACTACCCGCGTGCCCCCGCCCACGAGTGATGCCTTGGGCAGCATGTCCGTCAAGTACAACTTGGTCGCCTGGGCTGGTAACACGACCGCCTACATGCGCTGCGACTTGAAGACGCGTGCGCCAGCGTACATTGGCTTGTGCGTGGCCATGAACAATACCTGCGTCGCGACCGTGAATGACACGGTGCCGTACAACTGCGAGGACGTGGCGACCGGCGCGGCCATACCCGGCAGCCTCGCCAACCAGACGTACCGCTTGAATTGCGAGGTGCCTTGCGACCGCCGCTTCGACTGCAACACCATATGCGAGTGTTTCAGCACGTGCCTGCCCACCGAGTACTGCGAGTGTGAAGCCTGCAAAGCGCTGCAAAGAGACGCCACCAGCGATAATCAGTTTGTGGACATCAGGTCCCTCGTTACTGGCCAGGCCGCCGCGGCCGTCACCATTGCGAGTCTGGGTGACGTATCCAGTTCCAGCCGCCGCTCCATGCAAGCCAGCGGGCGACAGCTTCAGCAGACCAACAGCTCCGCGGATATTCAGGCCACTCTAAACAATGTACTGAGCCAAGTGGGCACGGTGGCCACCACGCAGGCCACCATCTCGCAGCAGATGGACGCCCTCAAGGTGCAGGTGGACCGCGCCAACGCGATTGCGGAGGCGCGCGCCAAGGACGACACGGTGCTCAACGCGATCAACGCTGGCCGCACGGAGATTGCTGCGGGCCAGGCAGCGGTGGAAAAGAAGCTAGATGAGATCCTGGGCAAGCAGCAGGAAGCGCTGCTGGCGGCGCAGAGTGCCGCGGCGGCTCTCTCCGCCATCAAGGTGCGTATATATGCACTTTACAGGCGCGTGCGGCTGGGCCGGTGCACGTGTCTGTCTGTCTGTCTGTTTTGTTTGTCTGTTTTGTTTGTTTGTTGCCAAGTTTTTGGTCGTGGGGCACGATGCGTTACCATGTGCGCTGGGGGAAACGCAGTTGTGCTGCCGCATGCGGGGTTATTGCTTGATCGCATCTACTGCTCCGACTGATACAGCTGCGGCTGCTTCCTTTTTGTTGTCGCTTATTCTGTGATTGTGTCTATGCGTATGTGTGTGTGCACGCAGGGTCTTGCGGAGCGCCAGGCTGCCGCACAGGCCAATCTGGAGCAGGCGGTAAACAGCCAGCTCAGTGCCATCAAGGTCGCAACATACCGCGAAATCATCAGCCTGACACAGGCGCTGGCGCTGTGGAAACGCGCACGGCGGGACAGGTGCGTGCATGGTTGCATGCGTGTGCATTGTTGCCGCAGCCGCAGCCAGATTTATAGTATGCACAGCATCCGGTACACTGAGTGGCGAGAGGGGAACGGAGGGTGGGAAGAATCTCTGGCGTTTTGAGATAGGCGCCCATCTGCAGGCGATGGATGGAGGTGCTGGGGGATGGCTGGGGGCGCCACGTGGTCCGGCCGGATGAAAGGCTCTTGCTGCCTGGGGCCGCCCTATCGCGGCGTCGCCGCCGGTCACACCTCTTTTGGTTTTGGCTTCGCAATAGGGCGGCTTAGCTGTTGCTCTTGCTGTTGCGGATGCCCTGATGACGGCTGGGTCAACCACCCATACGTTGCAGGGCTCTCACTCTCAAGGCGGCCCAGCTTGCCAACACGCCCTGCAACAGCGCCCCCACGGCGTCCAATACCTTCAAGCTGGATAACCAAAACGAGGTGGACACCACCACCTCACGAGAGCGCAACGTGGGGCTCACCAACAGGGTCATATCGGGTCTGCTCCTGCACCAGGTAAGGGTGTGTCATGAAACCTGTGCGATGGAAGGGGATACCGCCTACGGGTCGAAACGCGGTACACTTATGGACATATGTATGCGTGTTCATGGCCACATATGTGACCACCGCATGGCCTCTATGGTTGAATAACGGCCGTATGGCTTAGAAGGCCAGCTAGGGTTTGGATGCGGGTTTTGAGGGTTTGCGGTTGTGGGTGCCTCATTCGGCGTGGTGTAGGTGTTGATGGTGTTGATGGTGTATGAGAAGGAAAAGCCTTAAAAACGCGTTTTGCGGGCAGCACAGAAAAAGGTCGCTGATGCTCTGGTGCGCTCGGGGGATTGGGTTTTGCTCCCCTCTGCTTTCCTCACCTTTCCTTTCCTTCGCCCTACCTCGCCTACCCCTGCACTAACTACTCTCTCCTTGCTACCGGTGTCGATGCCATCGCGCCCGATATCAATGCGGCGAGCAGACTCGCACCAACGTGACGGAGTGTCCCAAGTCAAAATTCGACAAGATCCAAAAGACGTGCACGGGGCCGCAAACCATCGCGTCGTTCGGCGTGGATCCGGTGTTTAAGCGTGGTACGACCTCGTACAACCCTGATTTTGATGACGTCAATGACGCAAAGGTGGGCGTTAGGGGTTGTTGTTGTTGTTGTTGTCGCACAGCTTTGCTGCGGCTTTGGTCGTCTGCGTATGTGCATCATGTATAGTATTTGCCTTTGTGTAAGAGCTACAGAACATGGTTGCATGCATGAGCACACGTCGAGCGTATGCACACACAGAGTACACGCTGAGTCTCAATTAGGCGCCGCCCAAAAATACGGTAGCGATTAGGGCCATAGCCTCCGCTCTGGTGATATGGGGAGTTTGCGATTGATTTGTGGCAGCGCCTGCAGGTCATGTGCGTGGGCTGCTTATTTTACAGCGACCCGCCGGTTTGCATATTGGCAGCGGCCCGTGAGGTCCGTGCCGTCTTATTTCCTTTAACCGCCCATTGCCCGTCCTCGCGAGCGCAATACTTCGGGGAACCCTTCACTGCCGCTCGTGGTTGTAGATCTGAGCCTTTGTGTAGCTGTTGCCGCGCCTTCTTCCCACTACTCCAGGCTTTCAAATAACATCTGTTGCTGGTTTGCTGATGCCCGGGTGCTGTCGCTGCCGTTGTCTCACCCCGCTGCCGCCGCTGCAGGTCTTGGAGGTTTACAACTGCACCAAACTGTCTGCGCCCACCTACGACATCACCTTCCTCAACCAAACCACCAACCTGAAGCCTTATTGCGCCGAGCTGTACAACCCACAGAAGCTACCGTACGCTTTCCATTTCTTCCCGCTTGAGGGCAAGGAGGACGGCTTCCCCATCTATTTCGACATCAACTTATCTCAGCAGGGCGCGCAGGTGTGTGGATTTTTGGGCACATTAGAATGTCGAAGGGGATCGAAGGTGCCCCAACAGGGCAGCGTAAGCCTCAGTCTCCCACTGGCACGCAAGCAGGCCTGCAGTTCTACTGCCCAAGTGGCCGCACACGTGGCCTCTGTCACACCCACATACTTCCACACCCACATACTTCCACACCCACATACTTCCACACCCACATACTTCCACACCCACATACTTCCACACCCACACACTTCCACACCCACATACTTCCACACCCACACCCACATACTTCCACACCCACACACTTCCACACCCACACCCACATACTTCCACACCCACACACTTCCACACCCACATACTTCCACACCCACATACTTCCACACCCACACGCACACGTACACGCATGTCGGGTCCCACGCCCTCAGGCCTGGTACACGTACATCAACGAGGGGCTGTATTTGGATCAGAACACTCGGCAGATGACCGCCGAGCTGGTTACCTACAACGCCCAGCTGCGGATCTTCTCCTACTATTTCATCCGGTTCTTCTTCTCGGATGGCGGCTCCATCAAGGTGTGGGGGTACGGCCGCCTACCCGGTAGAGGGCTAGGGGGTGAAGAGGTTAAGGCTACAAACCCCACAACTGCTCGGCTACTGGCTGCTGAGGCGGATGCTCAATACAGAAGGGAACACGTATGCTAACTTTGGGGGCCCCGCGCCATATCGTTTCGTCTGTGAAGTGACATTGACCCTGCCTTTGGTTGCGCCACACCGGCTCATATGTAGATCACACACCGGCTCAACACGGTGCGCGTGGAGCTTTACAACAGCTACTCTGACGATGTGCGATTCGCCTTTGAGATCATCCTGTCCATGATCATTTTTGGGATGCTGATATACAACCTGTTCCAAATTGGCTACACGCAAGTGACGCGCGGCAACTTCCTAAAGTACTTTTTGTCGGGTTGGCACTGGGTGGAGTTTGCCAGCAATGGGCTGTTGACGGCGTGTATGATTATCTGGTGGGTATTCAAGGAGGAGTACGCCAAGACCTTCAACATCATGCTCAGGTGCGTCGAAAACTGTGTTGCCGCGGATAGGAAGACAGAAGGTAATAATGCAATGCGATGTGATGCGATGCGATGATAACGGTGGTGCGAGGTTGACACGTGTGTGCGTGTGCCGGTTGGCGGCTGCTGCTACTGCTGCTGCTGCTGCTGCTGCTACTCCACATTTCCCTCCCTTAAGGTGTTGGCAATACATTTTCCCTGCTCATTGCGTCCACCCTACCATCCATCCGTTCTCCCTTCCATGCCGATCCCGCCAGCCGTCATCCTCTCATCCTTCCACCCTAGTTTGCTCCCTCTCCGCGTTTCCCGCGCGCCCTCCCCACCCCACCCCACCCCACCCCACCCCACCCCATCCCACCTCAACACCCACGCGCTTTCACGAGCACCCACTAGCCCACCTCGTCCTCCTCCTCGCCCCGCCGCCGCCCCTTTCCTTCCACACACACCCTGAATCCCACCCCCGTCTCCCTCTTCAGGTACGACGTATACAACAGCCTCTCCCCTAGCGCCAATTTCCTGGCACTTAACGCCAACGGGACCCAGCTGATTGCGGCCAATGCGGCCTTCTCCGACCTAAGGGAGCTGGTGGACATGCTCAACTGGTGGGTGAGGGGGTGTGAAAAAGGAGGAACCACACTGCTTGGGTGGGGGCAGGTTGGAGGTCTATACCTAGTTAAGGTCAAGCGGTGTGGGGAGCCCGGCTACGTGGTGTGAGGTTACAAGGGATGGAGAACTCCGGTCCCATCCAGGCCCCGGCAAGGCCCAACTGGAGATGAGGAGTGGAGGTTATGGAGGATTGCGAACGGGTGCGGGAAGCTGTATTATTTTTAGCGGAGGAAGTAGTACCCGGAAGTAGAGTGAGTGGGGGAAGTAGAAGGCTGGCAGGGCTGGTGCGCTTTGGCTGGCTCTGGGTTGTTGTTTGCATTGGTGCATTGGCGGGTGTGGAGGACAGTTGGAGGACGGTTGGGCAGCGCTGGCCGTATCCCTACCTGGCAGCGTGGTGGCGGACGAAGGTGTTCCCTTTGGAGGCCCGAGGGGGGACCTCTTTAGGGGTTTTTGAGAGGTTTATTGGGTTTGGGGGGGTTTAGGACAGAGAGCTTTCGGCAGTCGAAGGCCTCTACCTTGCATTGCCTCATGGTGCGCTGGATTGTCCTCCTGCGCGCCGCACGGCGCACCACCACTCGACCACCACCTACCTCCCCACCCAACTTCACAGCAACCAGCCCCCTCTTGCCGCCGCATCATCAGTTGTCATGTGTAATTAACTATCTGGCGTCAAGGCGTGTATTATCGGACTGAAGGCGGGATACGGTGGTGCTCCGATTTTCGCCTTCGCGCTGCGTTCTGACCTTCTCAGCATTATAGCTCCCCTTTTTCCGTCCTCTCCTGTCCATTCATGTCCATTTCTTCCTCGCAACCCGTTATTGCTCTCCAGCCATTCCCCCATCCCCCGCTCCCCCCGCCCATCCCCGCCGCCCGCGCCCACCTGCCTTCACATGCAGGTACTTTGCCCTCAACGGCATAAACATCCTGCTGCTCATTGCACGTGTGCTAAAGCTGATGGACTTCCAACCGCGTCTGGGTGTGGTGACCCGCTCGCTGTGGCTGGCGGGGCCCGACCTCGTGCACTTCGCCATCGTTGCCGGCATGGTCTTTGTGGGCTATGCCATGATGGCGCACCTCATCTTTGGCAATGCTATCGTGGTAAGATAGGGAAGGGCGCCATACTGAGGGCATTGCGAGGGTTGGGATGTTGGGGGGGGGGTCGGACTATTATTTGCGGGGAAGCTGGGCCGTGTAATGTGCGAGATGGCGACAGTGAGGAAACGCCGTGCTGATCTCAGTGTGCACCCGCGTGGTGTATGCATGACGTGCATGCGTGACTGGCGAAAGCGCATGGCACCGATTGACGCGCAAATGCGCAAATGAAAAGAGGGGGTTGCTTGACCACACGTGAAAAGTCCTCTTCCTAGTCGGACCCCGAACGCGGCTCAGTGTACCCGCTGCTGCGCCTCCTCTCCCGCCTTCAGGCCTTCGCTACCTTTGGCGACAGCATCAACACTTGCTTCGAGATCCTGCTGGGTAACATCGACGTGAACGACGACCTGCGGGCGCTGGGAGGGCTGCAGAGCGTTGCAGGTGGGAGGGGAGCGGGAGGAGGCGGGTGTGGCTGAGTGGCCTCTGTTCGTGTTTGGGTGCCGCCGCACCGCCCCTTTTGGCATGTGTGCGTGTCTGAGTGGATTAGGCTATGGAGCGGAGGGTGGGTAAGGGAGGACGCCTCCTTTCTCTTGTCTGTCTGCATAACCACCACCTCGCCGCGTTCTCATTTAGCCGTGCGCCTACGCGGCCGTGACTGTCGCCGGCTGACGCGGTTGTTAATGGCGATGCCCATCCTGCCCATGTCGCCAGGTGCTCTGTTTTTCTGGAGCTACGAGCTGTTGGTGTTCATGGTGTTGCTCAACTTCCTGCTGGCTATCATTGTGGACGCATTCTCGGAGGTTAAGGAGAAGACGCAGGAGACGGTGAGTGGGGCCGGAAGAAGGGGCAGTGCGGTTGAGAAAATGCCGGTGAGAGGGGACGGACCTCCCCGGCGTGGCGCATGCATGCATGGGTCATATGCGGCTACAGCGGTCACCGTCTCAGGCCCCCTGGAGCCTCCTTTGCCCCGCAGCGTTGCCCCTCGCGTCCACCTGGACTCGGTGCGTCGTCCTAACATCCCTGGGTTGGTTGCCTCTCCTACACCCACATCATCGCTGATGCTCATGGCCTTGACCTGTGTCCATATCCCTAGGAAGTGCCACTATGAATACCAGCCCCCTGAATCTGTTGCAACACCACCCTTTCCCCTCCTACTTGCTTACTTTGCAAAGCGGTTGCTTGATGGAAACCACCCCTGATTGTTCGGACGACACGTTTACGTCACGAGGCGGCTTCCTATTACCTCCTGATCCCTCTCGATCCGTTTTGTCTCCCGTTCTGCGTTCTTCGCGTGTTAAAATACTCGTTCCGCTCCTCTCCATCGCGTTTTCAGGTGGGCATCCACACAGAGCTCTTCACGCTTCTGCGGGACAAGTGGCGCAGCATGATGGGCCGCTGCTCGTCCAATTACATCTCGGACGCCAAGCTTGGTGACCTGTTGCGCCAGTGGGCGGGTGAGGAGGACACCGACCGGGACGACAAGGCAACCCTGGCCGACAAGCGCAAGCTGCTCACGGTGAGCGGACGGGGCCCCGCAGGGTGCTGCCAGGATGCAGGGGCACCAGGGGATAGGGTGCCAGTCGTGTGCTCGTCCCTGCCGCCGCCTAACTTAGTGGTGGCTTCCCTTTGCACAGGGCTGCTCCTTTGTATGATTATGATTTAGGGCAACGTATATTCATGTTCTGAACGTAACCCCCTCCCTTGAACGTAACTTCCACCCCTTACTTCGCTCCGCTCAGATCCTGAACGAGGACATGGACGAGGAGACGCTGCTGGAGATCTTCAAGGAGTGCCTCAGGGACGCGCCCGACACCACCGACAGGTCCAAGGTCGCGTCGCGCAGTCTTTTGTCTCGGATGTTCCCGCGCCGCAAAGTGGGTGTGGAGGCAACCGAGGAGGAGCTCGCGCAGGCGGCACACTACATTGTGGACCGCTTCGGCATGGTGCCGGATGATGATGATGATGACGATGACAGCGACGATGGGCGGCAGGTGCGTGCGCACGTCATGCGGAAACTACCCAAGTACCCAACCAACTTTTGCCCAAATGCCTTGCTGCTTGACGGGACATGCTTGAATGCCCTTTGCATAGACCCAGTTACGCGTCTTGTAGCGACGAGGGAATGAGGAGCACGAAGGGGACCTCGGAGACCTCGGAGCTTCTACAATCCGTGGTGGCGGCGCGGCTTGGTGCCTTTCGGGCCTGTCTGGAAAGCTGGGTTAGGGGCGTCGGCAATAGCAGCTCCTTTTGGCCGTCAGTCAGTTAGTCACGCGGGGCATATGTAAGGATCCCGCCCTGCATCACGAATCTCCCCCGATCTACCCTATAGTAGTCCAACCCCCCCATCCTGCTGCGTACGTAAGGTGGTGTTCCCCTATTCAACCTCCGACAACAACACGCGCCCTCACCCACTCGCTCTCACCCACCCACTAACTCACGCAATTCTGCCTCTTCCGCCCAGGATTCGCCTCCACTGCCCCCAGCGGCTCCCGCCGCCGCCGTTGGGGCTCTGGGCCCAAGCCGCGAGGCAGTTTTGGAGAAGGAGCGCGACCAGTTGGCTCAGGCGTTGGAGCGTCTGGCTGAGGTGCAGCGCGAGCTGGCGGAGGGGCAGCGCAACCTGATGAACGGCCAGAAGCAGCTGTCGGAGCAGCAGTCCAAGCTGGTCCAGCTCATGAACGAGCAGCCGCCGGCGGGCAACTAGGAGGGTGAGGACTTATTGTAGTTGGGTTGACGGGTGGGTCATTTTGTGCTGCTGCTTTTCGTTAAACGGAGAGTGAACGCGGTGCCGGCCGCGAGCGTCGCATGCGGGTCATTGCTAATCGTGCTGGTTGTGATTCCGATGGTAGTTGTCGTGGTGGTAGTTGTCGTGGTGTGCTCACGCCTATCCTCTGCTTGTGTACATCGCGGGCGCGGGCGTGTGTTTCCCCGGGAGGACAGGTGGGGAAGCTGGTTGGAGGAGCGTCGGGGTCCGTGGGCATGCAGACGCGGTGTTGGTGGTTTGGGGTGGTTTGGGATAGGGTGGAATCTGACCAAATGGCAGCAGCAGCCGGTCTGGTGCTGCTGCAAGTGCTGCAGCTGCTTCACCGGCACATGTGACGACGGGCTTTTACTTTATCGTAGACATGCCCTTGATAGGGCCCGGATGGGCCGCTGCTGTTGCAGGCAGGCCCATGGGCCGTTTAAATCGGCTTGTTGTATTAATCATGATCTGTTTCCTTCATGTATTTTGTTCCCCAGGGGGAGGGGACCGGGAGAAGCAGGAAAGGACGGGGCGCGGGCGGTGTGGGATTGTGGGTGAATTCGACTGCTGAACTTGCGCGATGCGAACGTTAAAGGACAATCCGCGCCACGTGAATGCAAGTAACACACTAGACGGTTTCGCAGGCGAGCTTGGTTTATGTATGTGTAGTATACCGATATACCGTGCGAGTTGGACGGCGCGTCAGACGAGTTCCCAACCGCGCTGCCTCTTGGGTTGCGTTTGGGTTTGGAGGGGCCCCAGGCGGTGAAGTGAGCTCTCCAGAGCGGAGCTCTCTCATCGGCGTCCGGGGTGTGGTGTGGAAGCAGCGCAACCTCCCGGGGCTCCGCCTCTTGCTGGGGTGACCCATGATGGTGCTGCTGCCACCCTCCATCACATGTGCAACCCCCATTTCACCGAAGCATGCTCTGCATCTAGGTACAATTGCATAGGGACTCAGCCACCTTCTCGTTATGCTGGTTACACAGCATCCTGTCTAGGAGTTTTAAACCCGTTTCGGGAAATATAGCGCGTGCGTGTGACGAAGCCTAGGGCCATTCATCTCACCGGTTGCGCAACCCTCAATGTTGCCGCTGCCATTTGACCTCCTCAACGTCGGCGCGCTTTCCATTAGTTCAAAATGATTTGTGGCTGTGCACGCGGTCGCTCGTGTCCGGTGCCCAACTCGTGATGTGTTGAGTTCTCGGTATGTCGCCATGCAGGGACTGAACTGAGCTAGCCGCTGAGATGAAGCTGCTTTGTCTCTCTTGGGGTCCACATGTGGGCATGCTTCAGGAAAGAAAAAATGGTTTCCGATGCTGTAGCTCATATGCTTCGCGCTGTTCCCGTGCTGTTCTCCAAAGAGAAGGCTGTGTATTCTGATCGTTCTGAGACGCTGACAAAGCATACTCCATATGCACACGCGACGCATGGGATGGCACAACGCCCACTTGTGACCTTACTCATAATTGCGCCGGTTTTAACTGAAGTCGAGATGCTGCGCGCGCAAGAATTGAGTAGGCATGAACCCATTTTGCAATAGAATTGTACGTACTGGTTGGCTACGTCCTGCGATAGATGGCTCACACGTTGTGGAGTCAACATGCTGACAGACATTTCATACCGATTTCAATTGTGCCGACACGCGTCTGTTGTTACAAGTAACACAACGCATGCGTGACCACAAATCTTCGTTCACGGGATTCGTTTTAACGCAAAATATCAGTTTCGAGCAGTCTCTGCGAACACCAGGATCTGATCATGGCATACATATATTACTCACCATGCTGTACACCGTTCATGCAGCCGTGGCCGTGCGGAACGGCAAAAATTTTACTCTTCTTGGACAACCTGCCGTTGCTGCGAAGGAATATCCCCGTGCAATGACTTCGCCTTGCAAATCCAAATCCCAGTTAAAACCGCAAAGAGCCAACGTTCAAAGGCAACCACTTTGGGAGGACAAAATTGTGGCAACATTTGCTGGCCAATGGTCAAATCGTATTTCCGGATTCGCACAGGCCAGCCGCGCAAAGTACATTCCAAACAACGACACAAACATTCTTCGTTTTAGCTTATCACCCGCAATTCGGTGCCTTCGTTGGAACATTGTCAGCGCTGGCCACATCAGCCCAGGCCAAGCTGCGTAGATGTGCTCGCACAACCAACCATATCTGCGAACGGTGAACCTCTACCTTTTCTGCTAAAACACTCTCTACAACCGCAGCATGCAAAGAACGTTCTTTGCCGCCGCTGCAATGACACGAATTGAGCAGGCCACCATGTTCAAATTCCCACTTGTAAACCCTTTACACGACCAACCAGCACACCGCAGATCAGCAAACACAAACGGCACAAACGCAACCGTCGCCATAACGCACATCATTACGCCACATCCTGACTATCCAGGAAAACCAAGCTTAGCGTGACGGTACCCTGGACCATGGCACGGTTTTACGCAGAGGATTCATACCAGACCGCAAACCTCCCCAAACCAGCGCGACCACCTTGCCACGAGAACCCTTCACCTTGCGAAAGGGAAACGTTTGGGAAATCTCCCGAGCCGGAGTGAAACCTGCTCTGAACCCATGCGCACCCCGTCAATAGCTCCTTATCGCTCAGGGCTTAATGAGCATGATGGGCTGACCCACAGTGACGGGCTGTCCATTCTCCACGAGGAACTTGACCACCTCACCACCCACCTCAGCCTGACAATTGGAGAGCATGGAGCGGCGAGGCGGAAAGGTCTTAGGAGAATAGAGAGGAGTAAGGGCGTCAGGGAGTTACGCGTACAGCAGGCTCCGACCGTAAGCAGGGCAGCGTTGAGGTACCCTCCGGAAAAAAATTGTCGCGATACGCGAACCCTGCCAGGCCCTCCCCGTTCTGACTCGGACCGTAACGCATAACGGGTTTCAAATAACCGCAGCAGCAGCGGAAATGCTGGGCCGCACATCTGGCTGCCACTATTCATGAGCGGGAAGATCGGCATTCCGAAGAATAAACCGTCGAATGGCAAGTAACGAGTATGTCGGCGTGTGTACGTCATACTCCATGACAATGCGCAACCAGCTCGTCACCCACGCATTTCCTACAACATCCTCTTATCTCATCGATACGCCATAGGAGGACTGAGGACCACCAGGGACGGCGATTCCCCCTCCTGCATCAACTGACAGCGCCCCTCAGACGCCACTAAGCGACCACGCCTCCACGGCCACGGGCCCCACAGTTGACCCTACTAGTTGGCATTCGCCGTGTGGCTCTGTTTGCTCAGGAAAAAACTATTTTGCAGGGCACGGCAAGCCACAGGTTGAACTGCCCAACGCGCGTATTGTAGCGCTCCATATCGACCCCTTATCGTGACAGGAAGGCAAGTGCTGCTACACGTTTGTACGACATGCTTGCTCAACTGAGAACTACCCTACACAGCCCATCGGCATAATGGTTCTCCATAACAACAATTTGCTTCTTCAAGGGAGAAAGATCCAAGAACCCCGGAAGCCAGGCGGCCGACACCGCGGACAAGTCAATTGCCGTGCCTCTGCATTCTCGCAGCCTCCCACGAGCCACGCCAACAAGGAGAACTGTATGTATGTATGTACCCGGGCACGTGACCTCCTCTTCCGTCCCGCTTAAAGGGCCTTCTTAAGCCCCGAGACCCCACACTCCAGCACTGCCTTTGCACTCACCTCAATCTCGTTCATGAGCTTCATGGCCTCAATGATGCACACAGTCTGCCCCTTCTTCACCTTGTCGCCCTCCTTGGCGAAGGCCGGCTCGCCAGGAGCAGGCTTCCGATAGAAGGTACCTGCCATAGGGGAGGTGACCTCCACGCCCTTAGGGGCAGCTGGGGCCGGGGGCGGGGCGGGAGCAGCCGCGGGCGCTGGCGCGGCCGGCGCTGCGGGGGCTGCGGCGACCGGCGCCGGGGCTGTCGACGGGGAAGGGCGGCAAGGGAAAATGTAGGTTAGAACTGCCAAATGTGCTTTACTTGTTCTTTACATCTAGAGAGTAGATGAATGGGGTTAACGAAGAACATGCAACAAGTAAATTTACGAGGGAACAGTCCTCAGCTGTCACTGGCGTTTAGCCTTTCCCAGAACAGCTAACCGATCATGCTGGTCAGAATTACCGAGCCAAGGACGAGGCAAGAAAAGCAAAAGCGACCACATTCATACAAGAACGACCACGCGCCCCATCATAACGCACCTTGCACTGCTACAGGGGCGGGGGCGACCGGCGCCGCGACCATCATCTGCATCGGGTTTCATGGGGAGGAAACCGTGACAGTCTGTAAGGGTTTTAGGGTTTTAACAACGCAAAAGCTCGGGCACCCACGCCACCAAAAGGTCCTCAGGGAGCCGTTTAGCTCGGTTTGCACTACCGCTACTGCATCCTTGCGATTTCTTTCCTACCGGCATGGCTACCGCCTGCTCAGCTTGAAGGGCCTCCTTCTTACGAACGCTGAGGCTGAAGCCCTTGCTCTTCAGCGAGAAGTCCACAATGTCCGTGTCTTGCACCAGCCTGTTAGAAGTGACATGAATTGTGTGCGTGAACAAACACTTAAACGCTGAACCATTTGCATGAGCAATCCTAATTGGATGACCCGTCAATTTATTGGCCATGATTGCGTTGCTTGGGTCAGCCAAGCAACGCAACCATGGCCAATAAATCCTCAACGCCAGCGCAGGCGTTGCGATCAGACTCCTATAAATGATCGGATCTATAAATTGGCGATGATTTCAGAAGGACGCTTCCCTGCGAATGTGGCTACCACAGAAGAGTGCCGACGACCCGTCATAACGCTCAACACCGAACCTGATAATATCAGACAGCTCCTCGAACTGCAGCATGTTCGTCGCCGCGTGTCCATTGGATGGGGCCGTTACTCCGTTCGTGCTAACCTCAACCTCCTCCGTCTTGGCAACTCGGGGCGCCACCACGCGCTGCAAGCCGAGTCCGCAACTTTAGCGCCGCAACACACTTAACTCGCCAGAGCTCCTATGAAGCACCTACCAGGACGCGAGGGGCAGCAATTGACTTGACGCTCCGCGCAGCAGCAGTCCGCGCGCAGGGACGGTGGAGCATGTTCATCTTTATCCAAGCTGACGCGTAAAGGATAAGTGTGACACGGAAGGACCTTCCCCGAGCAAAACAATGTGTCAATTCACTGTACAAAACTGTTGTTGGTTTCCTTAGACTTAAAAGGCGAGCTTTGTCCTGCGTCGGCTGCCAACTGTACTGCATGTACCGATCTCCCCAAGGGAAAAACACGCATCCTTAATGCATGCGTTTACAGTTGTGTAGCGTTACACGAGAACACAATTTATGGCATTGGAGCTTGCCAGGTAGTAACGCCACGTAGCTCAGAAGTGCAGCATGATACCTGCATTCATTCATTCTTACCGCTTCCATACGAGGTTGACCGTTCGAATGCTACCAGTATACAAAAGGGCGCGTTGTCTATGCACCTTTGGCATAATGCGTGGATGGTCACAACACAGTGTTGCGTGCGGACCTCTTGCCTTACAGGGCTTCAACAAAGTCCTATTCCGCAAAGTTCAGCGATTTCAGTGCATACGGGCTATGAAGCAAACGCCTGCCGGCCAAAATCCTGTTAAGCTGTATATGGCACCAGCCGTTCTTCGGCCACGTCTCTCTTCCGCTTATAGCTTTCCATCCAGCAATCACGCTCATAATGTCTTCAGAGGAAGGAGGCTCGAATACGTATTCTGCGGTCATTCGGGATGTGGTTGGGCTTGAGTTCCCTCGTAAGATGGAAGGCCGTCCGTGCAGAGTCTTTTCCTCCCTCTACCGAAGAAGTACACGGTACATCACGGGATAAACATAACCCCCACAAGCCGGCGACGAATCCAGTTGACGGCCCCAGGGAGGAGGTCAAACCCCACGTCGTCTAGCAGAATCCCACCCACGCATCACAACAACCCCTGCTCACTACCCACCCTTCATTTCCACGCCTGCGACCGCTTTCCTTTGAAGTCTTCCTTCCGACATCCTCCCCCTCCCGACACACACGGCTACACGGCGGGTCCCACTCCCGCACACATCCAGTGGCCCAGCCAAACCTGCAGCTCCGCGCGTAGTGCCGCAATGGTGGAATCCTTCTTGGACACCACGGCCTGCAGCCGCCCCTCGATGTGCGCCAGCTGCTCCGCGTGCTCCGCCCGCTTGGCGTCCAGCTGCAGGGCCGGTGCGGATGCGGATTCATGAGGATGCAGATCTCAAGTGCTTTTAGTGAAAGCAAAGGTAGCCCGGAGGGTGCGAGGGAAGAGCGGGGGAAAGCACGGTTGGCACAAGATGAGGACACAGCGGCCGCCGGGCAGATTCATGCGCCATTGCGCTGGGGCTTGGCGAGGCAGTGCAGAGGAGGAGGTCGGACCGGGGCGGCGGGCCCGCAAGTACCGGAAACCCCTTCCATGACCCATATCAGCCTCTTTAGCTCCCTCCACAGCCCGTTCATGCCAGGTCCCCAACACACACACCCACCCCTGCTTCCAACCCTCCTATGAAAATGGCGCCTCTTACCGCACTGCTCTCTTTCTCGGTCTCCCCCATACTCGCATCATTCTGTCTCACAAACAACCGGTTTGCCCACTCGGCTTGCCCATTGGTTAGCCTTTCGCCGCGTACACTCAATATACCCACCCTCTTGCCCACCCACCAGCTCAGCACAGCGCTGCGTTAGGGCCCGCTTCTCCGCTTCATGCCCCTCTTGCTGCTCCGTGTGCTGCTTGCGCAGCCGCACCATCGCCACATTGGTCTGTTGCAGCTCGCCCTCTCGCGCCTGCAAGGCGGCGCGCAACTGCAACCAACCAAGAACCAGAGGTGCCGCACACGAACACACGGAGGGGTGGCCCACATCAGATAATGCGATAATGCTCTCTCTTTTCCTCTCACTTCCTCTCCGCCACACGTCACACGTGCGTGTGTACATGCGGTTCTCCGGATGCACGCAGTACGCAACACCTCGCACACATAACCCCCCTAAACATGCAAAGAAAGGGGCATGCCGCGGCATGGCACTCCGTTATGGGAGCGGCGGAACCGGGCAGCAGAAGGGAAGAGGGGTAGGGGGGCTAGTGGACGGGTCTAGCACCACTCGCAGGTCGGGAAGTGGTAGGATGGCTATGAAGGAGGTAAGAAGCTTAACCGCATCCATGCACTGATAGGAGGTTGGAACTGAGTGCAGGACACAACCTGAGGGCCCGCTGGTTGTGATCCTGGCGGGTAACAAATCTACTGCCTGAATTTTTTGCTGGGATGGGATGGGTTGTAATGTGGGCCGCGGCTCTCACCTCCTCAACCTCTCTTTGCAGCCCTTTGTTGACATCGGACAGCTTCAGCCACGCGCCAGACATCTCGTCGTACTTTTGCTGCCTGGGTACGGGAAGTAGGTAGGATTTTTTTACTTGTGGAATTGCCGGGGGTCGGTACCTCAAGGCCAGGTGCGGCCGTTGGTGTACAGGTGCGGGCGTGCGTGTCCACGTATCCTGTTTATGGGGCATTATGCGCTGCGGCACGTGTAGCGAACGTTCAACCTGTACACACTTCGGATTCGGCGGTTAGGTTTAGGCGGTTATTATTGGGGGCGAAGGGTTCGGTGCTGGTTCCGACGACAGCTGGCATCGGCATCACATGTGGTGCAGCAGCACGGTGTGATGCGGTGCGACAGCACGACGACGTAAGACATACGGTCCATAGCTCACCATTGCTCCACTGCGCTGTGAGCCTGGGCGACTTGCGAACGTGCGTTGTGCTGTACTGCCTCAATCTCCCCCCGACACCAGTCGTCGATTTCCTGCAGGCCGGCCTCGTGCTCCCGCTTCACACGTTCCAGCTCAGCGTCCTGCATACATAAGCCCCATCCAAACGAGTTAAAAATAATGATTAAAAAAGCGTGTCACGGTGGGTTTGGAGTCAAGGTATCACCCGATAAAGAGCTGTGGCGGAGGCCACGTGCGGGCAGTTTGTTAGGAGTGTGACTGACACCGCGTGGAGGGGCCTCATGTTGCCGGGGGAGGGCGGGTGACGCGGTAAATTGAGGGCCCAAGCAGTTTACGCATCTCTGCCTCCGATGTCCCAAAAGTGATAGAGGCTTCGTCGGTTGTCATTTTGTAAGGTGATACCTTATACAGTATATGCGTGCCAACGAATGTGTAGAGGTTTGCATGGTGGAATACGCTGACCTGCTGCTGCTTTAAGTGTGCAATTTGCGCTTCCAGCTGGTCAGCGCGAAGTGTTGCGGCCGACTCGGCCTGGGCTAGCTTGTCTGCCCATTTCTCGTCCACGGTCGTTGCCGCAGCCGTTAATTTCTCTACTTGTTCGCGCAGCTTTTGTTGTTCCCTGTCGAGAAATGGTGGAATCGTAATGTAATGATTCCGTGCTCATGTCATAGCAAACGCGAAAAGGAATTTTTGAAGGACCAGCTATAGTAAAGCCAGTCCAAAGTCCTAATCAGTAAATCCATAGACCAATGAAGTATTGAAATCTTACAGATCAATCGAGACGGGTCTTACTTTTCGTGCTGTCGCCGCAGCTTGGCTCCACGTTCAGTGTTCTGTCTCAGCTGCAATTGCAACCTTTCGTTCTCCGCCAGCAAGGAATCATTCAGCGTCTCCAGATGTGCACATCTACTTGCTATGGATGCCAAGTCGACCTACAGAGAGCACCTGGGCTTGGCTGCAGACACACTCCCCCTGGCAAGGACAACTTTCGACAACGACAGCTTACTTCGCGATGTGCATGCTGCTGCTGAACTGCCTCTGCATGTTGTTGCTTTAACTGTTGTACATGATTGCGTAGCGCATTGTAGTCTTCCGGGTTGATTGCGCCTATCTGCGGCATGATTACAAGTTCGGTTAAAATTTGTACTTGCTGCAGGCTACTATAGTATACATTTTTCGCATTCCTAAGGCGGGAAGAAAGGCGTTACAAACTGCCGCACTGCAAAAGTTGACCGTGTGTCGTAGGTGATTAAAACCGGCGCAATTCGAGGTTCACAAATGCAAAGCGTGATTCATGCTATTGTGCAATAAGCAGTCTTACATGATGAAGCGGACCTCCTGACCTGCAAGGGTACATGGATTGTGCTTGTACACTCGGATGCACGGGATTGCAAAGTTCATGTTCATGTGATTTTGGCGTGACACGGTAGGATTTACCAGTTGCAATTAATTAAGCAGCCCTCTGGATTGCGGAAACTAACTACTGTGACTGAAAGCTGGGAGCAAGAGCAGTACACCCGGAAGTTGACCACTGCATGTTGATTAAGTGCTCGTCCTGTAGTGTAGTACGGCAAGTGCGGCGCGGGAGGAGCAGACCGGAATTGGCCAGAGGACAGTGACTGATACGGTAGTGCGTTACAAAGATTAGCTGGGAACAAAGCGCTGAATCCAGACAACGCTAGTTCGCCAGTCAACCGTGCAAGCAAGCGCAAGTCAGAACGTCGTCTGTTGGGGATTTTGAATTGTTTAAATAGTGATTTACTTTGTATTCGGGACCCAGCTCAATAGTAAAGTAGATAAGGCGATTTGACGTTGCTGGCATATCGGTCTCCAGTAACAGCGAAGTGATGGCAGAGCGCGAGCAATCGCGCGGCGGAGGC